TACTGGTCCATGTTGGTATTGTTTATTGAGCACGTACAGAAACAGAACTGTAACGTACCGCTGCGAGAAAATGTTTGCAAATATTTATACTAATAATAGATAACCATGTGAGCGTTTGGAAGTGTAGTTCAAGTCGTAAGCTGCTTTCAGTTCCTTGAACTAATATTTTTGGAAGCCGTTGTAGGAACTCTTTTTGAAGTTTATAAGGTAGAACGTTAACATTTTCATTTCATAAAATGTGCATAAATTTTACTACAGAAAATTTCGCTTCGTTTATTCATAACAACCATGGTTTAATTACAAATAAAAGTTCCATATGTAGTTTTAAATTCACGTCTGAAGCTTTACAATAGAACAATAAAACATGAAAATATGTTACATATCATTTCGAATTGAATTTGCATGAATATGACTTTATTTAGCCCAGAATATGAGTTTTTGAAGTTGTTTTCACTAATTAAAGTTGCAGTTACAGTGCATTTTGTTTTTTGGTAAAACTCTGTAATTGAAGAGAGTCATAATGATTTTTAAGGTTTTTATTTTAACCTTGTTTGTATAAAATAAGCATTTTAGCAGTTGTAAAATAAAAAATAATACAAAAGGATCTTTATTTTCATATACTTTTATGGCATGTGGAGGTGTTTATTGTTTTCGTAGCTGAAGATAGAGTTGTAAAAATTTCATGAGAATTTAAATAATAAATTAATTTTAGTAACAGAGTTTAAAAATCTTGTATTTTCGCTATATCTACGAGTACATATTTCGAGGCATGTAATTCCATCATTCATTTCACATTTTCTTAACAATTTGCATGAACATCAGCTATTATGAAATTTGTAATTTTAAAAGTTTAGTTATCCCGAATTCAAAAGAGTTATGATGATATTTATTTTACTGTGGAAAAAGTATTTAAAATGTTATTATTTGAATAAAATAGTAAAAACCGTAATCTGAATAAACAAGATCAATAACAAATGTTCATATAATATTTTAGATATAAGATTGTCACAAAGTTGTACACATAAAAATGTAATTTTGAAGAATAAAGTTATAAAACATAAATAACAGGTTTATTTGGTATAATATTTCGATATCATTTATAATATTATACTCAGTTTTTTATTAAAAGGAAATTTTTAAGATTTTTCTTTTCAAACATTTCTATTGAAAAATTTAGTGCTTCTTCAAATTAAGTTGAAAAACTGTCTACAAACAAAAATCCTTCTAATTTGCAAACAGTTAATTTAAAGAATCTTTTAATTAGAGCAGTCTACAAACAATTATTATAGGAGATTAATTTTAAAGAATGTTTTGATAACAAATAGATTGGATAACATTAATTTATTAAGACACAGAGATTTGATGTGTTCAAGTTTGTTTAGAGGCTTATCTACCTAAAATTTATTTTCAATAGTCTGAAATGAAAACAAAACGATTTTCATGAAATTCTCTCTAATTGTTGTGCCAGATGGTTGGAATTAATTTAGTTTCATTTACACATTCATTGTATTGTAATTTACCGAAAACAGGTTGAAATTAAATTTGTATGTGTCTTAAAGTTTGTTTTTGTAGTTCCTCGATTTATTTTAATTTTAACATTTCTAAAGCAGAAAACGAATTTAAATTACAGAATATAAAAATAGCTGATACGTTTGTGCCATTCTTGTATGAAAAGCTTTTGTAACTTGGCTTCTAAATGCAACCTCAAAGGTTAATTTCGTTACCAAACTTGCTAACAACTTGCTACGTCTGAGTTATGAAGAAACGTCTATTTTTACATATTAATCACTATAGAATATCAAATAAGCAAAATGTTGTTTTTTGTAAACGCTCCCGAAAACAGCTGTTTTAGGGACTCATTTGAGTCCCTAAAATGAATCTTTTCCGGACTCAATAAAATAGTACGTAAAACGGTTACTTTAGGCACTCAGTCCCCAAAAACAGTTTTTGCGGACTAAAAAATAAAATTGGTTACTACTATGGTAACGAAATTTTTTTTAATTAGTAAGAGGTGTGAATTCGTGTTTTGGGAGCTTTAATAAAAAAATCTTGTATGCACCACGTACGCAAAAGGTTTTAGGTGACTCCTCTCATTACAGACTCGGCTCCTACGTCGGCGCCTCGTCATTAATTACGATTCGTCCCCTAAAACCCTATTTTGCGTACATAATACATAAATAGCTAAAATAAAAGCTTTACAAAGTGACAGAAACACTATAGCGCCGGTTTCTGTTTCAAACTTTATTAATTAATTTTGAATCAGTAATTCAATTACAAAGGTTTATCATGCACCAAACTAAAATGAACAATATTCTTTATGAATCTTACTAGCTGACATACAATCGCCTGTTTTTGAATACTGATATTTAAACTCCACTAAATGTAATTACAAACTTTATCTTAAAATCGTACACACACTTTGCAAGCAATTTAACTCTGTTTAAAACATTATCTCTGATTTGCAACAAAACTTCGCAACTCAGAGATTGAAATTATTTACCAAACTAAAAACTATGATTTAAGCCAGCTATAGAAAATTAATAATACATACATTAAACGAAAATAATCGCGATCAATGTCCTTGCAGAACATACTCGTAAAACTGTCTCCCAATTCTGCGACGCGATCTAAAAATGATCGTTGTTGCGGTGTACGAAAGGATCTCTACATTTAACTTTCCAAAACTACCTTATTGGTGCCTTGTATCATGAATACTTGCAACTTGGAAATTGCTCGATAGTGGCACAGTTCCAAAATGTCGCATAATAATAGTGGATAAACGTATCTTTTTGTTATCTTCTAATAACTAGGTAATAGTTATTTATTATACAAGACGATAAAATTGAATTTTATCTTTGATTAATTTGGTCGATATTTATAAATGTCAAAGTAAAATTCAACAATAAAGTCTAATGTCAAAGATTGTTAGCAACTAACAACCGCACATATGCAACAATGGATGTATTTTTTATCATCTAGACGATAAAATTTCATTTTGACATGAAGAAAAAAGTAGATAAAATTCAATTTTAACATAAAGGATTGAATAAATAACTATTTTTCTAATTTAAATGAATTTAAAATACTTTTACTTTAAAAAATCATTACTCAATAATTATTATGATGATTTCCTCCAAATAAAGACCATTCTAAAGGGATGGACTTGCCCTTTAAAATGATATGCAATTTGAAATTAATATTGGTGAACTTTTCTTCGAACAGTGTTCGAAGAAGTTCGAAGTAAATCGAAATAATCTAAGAAATACCCTATGAGTAATTTTTTTTCATCATCACCATCGTGTCTAGAGCATCTCTTTGTTAGTTACAATCCAAATTTGTAAAAGAATATACCGAGTAGTTTTCAAGATATGAATTTTTGAAGTTACCTTTGCTAATCAAGCATTACGCCCCATAGGATAAATTTTCTTAACAATTTCATTGTACAGTTACGGAATTAAAATTTGGGGCAGTATTGTCATTTTCATAATATAAACTATAAATCAACCATTACATTAATAACCCCATTGTTTTCTTGTAATGTTTGTGTCATTTTGACTTTTCAAAAATATTGATTTGTGGCATAGGCTGGCAGCATATCAAAGCGATGATTTAATTACACTTAATTCAATTAAAATTTCCTAAGACGGACAAATTGTTTAATTAACAATTTTAACCACAAAAAAAAATTTTAATTGTCAAATGTCAGTCATGATGACAGTAAGAGGTAGTTTACACTGAACTTTTTAAAGTTAATCTGTGACGCAGGTTTGTTAGTCAGCATTATAAATTAACCATACGTACTTTATAATAAGACGAAAACTTATTAGGTTTTTTATAACACGCCTAAAATCATATTGTAAAAACCCTGCATTTATTTATTCATTTACAATTTGCCCAGTCGTTTTCAAAATGACTAGGTGTTTTATAAAACGACTGAATTTACAATTAGCCTACGACATGTGTACTTTTTGAAATATTTTTTTTAGTGCATTTGATTTGTCTCACTGAGACAGACAAAATGATATATAATTTGTCAAGTTGTCACGACATGACTTTTTTTGTCGCCCTGTGTAATATTATTCAGCATTCAAAAAAATAAAGTTGTACAAAAAACACTGATATGTTGAACACAATCCGTTGTGCTCTATGTGCTCCGCCATATTATGACAGACAGACACTATTTGCTAACTTGCTTTATAATAAGACATCGCAATGTAACTGTCATTTGATCTAGAAACATTCTTTCTTACTCTGACAATGATGAGGCAGGCTATAACATCTGATTTATTCATACGTTCAAGCAGAATTTAATTTTCTTTCTGATTTTTAGCAGTTTACATTGGTTGTTACTTTTAATTCATTGCACACAGCATAGAGCAAAAATTTATACATTTGTGGTTATTGCAAACAGTGCTTATCGAACTGAAAATGCTCATAACATTAATAACATCAGTAACAGCAAGCAACAACCAACATAAACCTAACTGGTGATAAAATGGCTTCTAAATTTGGTAAGATATACATTTTTGTCTGATTGGAAATATTATTGGTTTACTGTCATTTCAGTAAACAATTTTATTATTTATTGTATTATCATGGAACAAAATGTACATTGTGTAAATATAAAGTAATAAAACTCTCTCCACTTGTTGGAAACTACTATAAAATTTACAACATGGGATATTGTGATGCCTATGTGTATCAACAATAATTACACACACTCTTGAATATATGAAATTTCGTGGGCTTATGAAAATGTTTCATAATTTAAATTTAGTTGTTTCCATAAATAATAAGTCTTTTTTTCTATCAAACTACACAAAACTTCTCCAAATTTAATCGTTTTTATTATGACTTGAAGAATAATTTTATTGTATGACAAATTCTTTCAGACTTCAAGCTCAAGTAGGTATTTGTAATCACTAAATATTAAAAAAGTTAATAATATAACAAACTTTAATCCAGCACAGATGTATTTTTACCGTTTCCGTTTGTTTTAGGAATAATCAATAGAGGAGATTCGTTCAGACGGAGACGCTCAAGAAGTAATAGTTTATGTCCTGCCGTCGGAGGCGGAATGCCTTCCCTTCTTCTGAATGAGCCTGAGCAAACTGTTTCTGTTTGCAATTACATTGTCGCATTACTCGGTGCGAATGGTGTAGGAAAAACTGCCCTAATTAGCCAGTTTATGACTTCAGAGTGTATCAATGCGTACGATCGACAAAAAGGTAATTAATTTTCCTCTTCTTTTGATCAGATTTGCATAATGAAATATTTTTGAACTGAGAATTATTTTAGCTGTCAATTGAATTTTCTACCAATCAAAAAATGCCAATCAGCACATTATGATAGTAATAAAGCCCCCTTTCCTACAATAATAAAGAGCCGGTTCCTTTGATAAATCCCTGCTTTTTGTTTTATGACATTTTTTATGACATATCGTCATTTATGAATTCTTATACGTCGACGATAATCTGTTGAAATTGAAATCTAATTCCCCTTTTAAACATGTAGTTTTAGTGCAACTAAAACCTTAATGAATTTTCATACTGAACTGCGAGTTGTTTTAGGAATAAATAAAAATTTATACTAGAACAACAAAACTAGTCATAATGATTACTACTAACATAAAGCTTCTACTTTTTAATTCAAAACAAATAAAAATGAACATTTCAAAATAGCAAAAATTAACAATTCAAAAATTATGATATAGGATCATCGATAATATTTTATAACTTCGTATAAATTTAATTTAATTTCGAAATTTCGTGCCGGTATAGAATATTAAGTTTACTACATTAATATTGTGCTTAACTACGGTTTTAGATGTAGCTGAATATCTAATAAATGATACAAACTGTGCAAAATTGCCAATAATAGTTTCTACTTACTACATGTGATTAAAGGCACTTTTTATCCACCAGCAAAATTTGTTTAGTACTATAAACGTGGTAAAACCCAAAGTATTATTATGCCATAAGTGGCTCTGATCTTTTGTTAAATTCAAAATAAATTTTATTGTGAAATATTAAGAAAAATACAGAGTTGAAAATCAGAGGCATTATTTCATCGGAACAGTTAAACAAACTGAAAAACTTACAAAAACATACTTATTTAAATTTGTACCGAATGAAATGGAGCAAAGAAAACCAATAATGTCAAAGTTTGCCCAAATTTGATTTTTTTAGAAAATAAAATAAATGAAAATTATTGTAGAATTAATTTGATCTTTGCATACTTTTACCGTAAGTCAAAGCGTAAATAATTAAAAGATCAAATTACTCCATTCCTTAAGAATACATTTTTTTAGAAAAAAAAATCATAAAAGTTAGGTTGATTGATTATTCTAAAAGTAAAAACTTATCAAGTTTTCTTTGATTTGATGTTAAGCTTATTCACCATATTAGAAAATTTAATTATTATTGACATTTTAAAAATATAGTAAGACACATATTTTTGGTTTTGAAGAGAAGAAAATAAAAAAAAATTAAAATCCTCTTGTGACGTATGTACCTAATAATTTCCAAAAACACGTGCTCAAATCATTTATAAATCATAACTGAGGGCTGTGAGGTATTTTATCGCGGTTTCTCCAAAAGTGTACACTTAAATGGCAAGTGGTTGTCAAAAATTGATAATTAAAATATTTATATAAAAGTGAATCGTATTTTTTTCAAACTGAGACGATTTCAATGCTGTTGTTAATAGCATCGTTTTATTAGTTTACTAATGTTGTTTGTAAACATTATTTTTTTCGAGCATTGCGTCCGCACTTAACTTCTTTCTTTGTTAGACGACACAATGCCAAATAAACTAAACATACACTACTGCAAAATCGTGTAAACATTGACGTATGTACAAGGAAGCTTTTAGTTGAAACCATCTTCAAGCTAGAAATGTGTTGAAAACTTAAAGACGAATAGTATATAATTACTGTTTTAAATAATTACTATTTAAGGCAGTAAAGTGTAGTCCTTAGCAACCCAAGAGTAGAAAATCTGAGGGAGTAAGAAATTCGTGGTTAATAAGCTTCATTTCAGAGTTTGTTAGAATCCACGTTGAATAAGTAAAATTTAGAGTGATTTATAGAGAATAAAATATATTGGGCGTGACTGTCAATGACTTACAAAGCTTGAATTTGACAAATTGATTCCTAATCAAGCGAATAGAATGAGTAGGCCTAAAAAAGTCGATAAAGGCAATAATGAAGCCAGCCGAACCCTAACTTGCGAGTGTATTGTGACTAAAGTGATAAATCATTGAGCTCTGATTCTTCTTCACTTCGAGTTGAGTCGGCAAGTAATTGTTTCAAACTGCACAGCTCTGAAGAAAAAAGAATTTAACAAATACTTGAATTAAAATTTCGACTAAAAAAACTTTTAATAAAATGACGTATACGTATGATGGAATTAAATATTTGTTAACCAGCTTCATTTTTTTGCGCATACCTATTCAAAGCTTTAGAAAAGAAGAAAGTGTTGTATGCGTAAAATTTTAAACGCGAGCTATTGCAGGCAGCTGTATATTCTCATTCGCAGCTCTTCCAAACATTCGTACCTGTTAGATTGGGAGCTTTTATACTAATCAGAACCCATATGGTTTTTAGTGTTATAATAAACAAATAAACATTTTGACGAAGAGAAAATTTTCAGCTGCTACGTGTATATTTTTTCTGATTTAAAGCAACAATTTAATGCCTAATAGTTACAACCGACATATAGAACTTATTTTTAGCTTGACGAAATGTAGCATGTAGAAATCAATTGATCAGTAAACATTTGCTTTCAGATTCATCTATTAATTTAAAACCTTCAAACGATTTATATTTAACAGATTTCAACTGAATTATTTTAATAACAAATTTTCCTCTAATAAACGACTACATTGGAAAGTTTTTATAACCGAATGCGACATTTAAATTTAGTAGTAAAAGAAAATGTAAAATAACTTAAGATGTCCTAATTGTTTCTTTTAGACATATTAACACGCACAAAGTATATAAATATTTTGTATATTCAATACCCTAATAAATTTCAGTAAAAATGGATTAATCAAGAGAACTGCTATCGAATGCAATATTTCTCTGGGTAATAAATTTTCGATGCCTCCTACAGTAAAACACCTGTTGGCGTGTCTTCTACGTACACCGGTATAAAAATATCGCTTGTGTTTATGTGTTAAATTTGCTGTAAAATTCCAATCCGAACAAACTCGAGATTATCTTTTCTGTTGTTGAATATACTTTGGCATACTATCATTAATGAAATTGAATTTAAGATAGATGATATACAGGGAAGTCGATACTTGGTCAATTGTTATAAATACATTCAAGTTAAAATTTTGTTATTATACATCTAAATAAATTTGTGGAAATTACAGAGAAGGCTAAAGGCTACTTCACACATTTTCAAAGTTTCTAATTACTGTTTTTTACAACTTGTCTATTTTAATATTTTCAGAATAACCTTTGTTATAGAAAATAATCCACTGTATCTAGAAAATTTTGATTTTAACTTTTATCTTAGTTTTAATTAAACATATGAGAAGCTCATAGGTATTTAGTAATCATTTTGCTTTTACTTTTATTACATACTTTAAATATGCTAAAAGGCATTTAATAATAATAATATATATCATCACTACACATTTTGTTAACACATGAATTTGTTGATGTCCTTCTTTAAGATCGACAAACTGCGAAAAAGCTTGGTTTTACTGAAGGTAGGTATATAAATTTTACGTATTTTTTTTCCAAAAATAGAGGAAAAACCTGACTTTATAAAACTGTATAAAAAAACTGTATAAAATATAAATTCACTTAATTAAATTTGAAAAATCAACAGTGGTCATAATATACATATATCTTGAAATTAAATTGGTCATTCGCAGTAAAAGCGTAGAATCAAAATTAGCTTTGATTTTAAAAATAACTCAAATTTTATGATGTCGTTTCTTCCACAGGTTATAAAAGTTTTAAAAAGAACTAGTAAATTAAATTGACTATAAAATTACCTAATTTTTTCGGAAGATGTGTAGACGTGTAGTATTGAACTTTCTACATAAAATTTGGCAACATATCTTGCTATGCGTTTGCGGCTTCGTCTCATTTAATAGAGCAATGACCGTGGTATTATTTTGGAAAAAGGAAATGAGATACTGAGGCTTATTCCAAAGTGAATAAGGTTGCTAAAGTAATTCATTATTTCTTATAATTTAGGTGGATAAGTACTTAGTATGAACATATCGGTAATACAATAAATTAAAATCAAAGTTTACGACTGGAATATTTTATTATAAGTATTCTACGTCTTCGTCTGCCTATAAATTATTAGTGGAAAATTTGTAATTTCACCGTATTTTAGAAATAAGCGAAGCCAGCATATTGTATGACAGTTTATATTTTGTGACCGCAAAAAAAGACACTACATAAAATTTTATTTTTGACTAATTTTCGGTGTCCTGCACTTTCTATAAATACTCCTAATGCGACAGACGCCAAAAGCATTGACTAAATGATTACTAATGTGAATATCTTGTGAGATTAATGAGAATCTTAAACGAATGACTTGAAATACTTGTTTTCCATGCGAATTACGAAATGAAGACATCATTTCGAAAATACAGTAAGAGAAAAGATTGAATTTTAAAACGTAAACACAGTTTATTTATCATAACAATTGTAAAATCGGATACCTATTCATAAATAAAACAGTCAAACGAAATTTAACATTATTGCAGGTATTCGACTAAAAAACGCTGCTTCACTTTAAATAAAGCGTTTCATAAATTGTCCTTTTTGCTTGTTACGGCAATGTGATTTTCGTTTTATTGTACACAATGTAGCGTTTAGAGCTTAATGGCATAGTTAAGAGCAAACAATTTAAAGCTAATAAAAACTTCGCTTAAAATAAGAAAACTCAAAATGTGTCCACTTCCTCTCTTACATAATAACCATAAATGATATTTTTTAACATTTCGTTACAAAATGCTATTCTGTTGCTATATTTTGAACACTAAATTTGTTTTCACAGGTTCGGCCATTTCATTTTATGTAAGAATAAATAGTGGAAAATTGCGAATACATCCTGTTACTTGTTTGTGCAATTCCGTCGATTACAACCGAGAAAAACAAAATTTGATTGATTACCCAATTAATTTGCTGTTCAAAATTCCCATCTGAAAAATTTCGGATTTGGCCAAGCTTTGGGAAACTTTCAGATAATTTTGTTTTCGTTGTCTTCAATACTTGTGTTGAGTTCTGAATATTTTTTCTGTTATGTCATTTTTTTTTATTAACTACATAAATAAATAAATTATGATCCCCAAATCATGGAAATTCAAAGAATTAAAAATATCACATTAAAAATATCAAACGTTTCAAAAAATAATATGTATTTTAAGTTCTCTTAAAATACGTACAATGATTGGCAAAACAGCCAATTTATCAACAACGACGACTAGCAATTTCTCTTCAAAGCAAATCAAAAACAACCATCTGATGTCTGCATCCAAGAATAATCCTACTCATTACTTCCCTGGCTTTATAGCATTTACGAAAAATTCAACATTCAGCAAGAGCAAATTGCTATTTGAGATTCTAAAAATAGTAAGTAATTCAACGACGCTACTAGTCCTGCTATTGTGCCACCTCCTTTAGCTCCTTTCCGTTTTTAGCAGTTTTAATATACTCTTAAATTGTATATCAAACAATATGAAAAAAAAAATGCTTATGAATTAATACAGAAATCAGTTGTTGTAACTCAAAACCAAACATGTTAAATGGATGGAACAGGAGTCAAAACAATATATCCTATTTTATTACCATGTATCTAGCGTATTAACAAAGAGAATACAAGCACAGCATGCTAAAATTATCCATATTCAGTCTGCGGTTTCAAGAGCTAAATACATAGGAACCAAATCATAAATGCAAAAGGATATTTTTAGACTCTGCTGAACGAATTTACAAGACACAACCAGTTTAAAATATTTTACACAAATAACTAATTTTTGAATATTATTTTTCAGATACACTATCAGGAGCTGAAACTGTTTCAATAATGCTTAATGGAGAAGAATCCGAACTAACGTTTCAAAATCTTTCCAGCACGAAGGTAAATAAACAAACTAATACAGATATCCCTCTTTAAATTATGTTTACATTCAAAATTATTTTTGCACGAATATTTTTTGGCACACGCCAATGACAAATAGTTTTACATGTGTAATAATACTGCACCTGCAGAGATTCATTTCCGAATCGATTATTCTCATTGTGGAGTTATGACCCATGAAATTTTTTAGAGCTTTCGATTTACGTTTTTCGTTTTTGGGCTTTTGCAAGATTATTTCTAAATAGCTGCTCATCGAGGATAATATTGGCTTTCGGTCCTGCATTTCTACTTCAACTGCATGAACGCACTTACTGCAAACTGAATGTAGGTATTGTAATGTTAATCGAACCTTTTTTTCCTGTGTGATTACTTAGTCACTTGTCCCATATACTCCAGCGTGTCCGGAGATAGAGATTTTTTCCAGTTAACTGAGCTTTTTAAACTTTGGGTTTATTATGTCACTGTTTTGCAGGACCTAATTTTTTCATTGCATGCATTTATAAATATGCATCAGATTGAGCTAAAGTTTTTCAGAGTGTCTACTTAGGTTGCATAGCTTATTGCTCAGTGTGTAGCAAAATTTTACATTTCATCCAATGTGAAGTGATAGTGTTGCAAATAAAATTAGTCCTTCTTGATAAACAACTTTACTCTTTATTGTTTCGAAATGGTAAAGTAAAAGTTGCCGGGTTTCTCGTAGGCGTAATTTATAAATTGTTTCCCTTTTAAATGGGATTCCTTCAGACATCAAATCATGTTTGCAAATGTAAAATCCGCCACAATTCTATTTTCATTTGCTTTTAAATATAAAAGTTGAAATATAAAAAGCAAGTAGGACAAAGTCGAGATATTTCGGATATAAAATAACAGTAAAACGAAATAAGATGTCTAAAGTGGCTTCCATCAACTTCCTGACAATCAGCCAAATAATTTAAAAACTTCAATTTATCTCCTTCCAATATTTAGTGTTGCTATATCTGGATAAATATTACGTCTGAATCAAACTCGTGAAACTATAAACACGCTAAAAACACATAAACGGCTCAAACTCCGATTATCGTGAAAATATCAAAGTCAAATTATTTGCATCATGCAAGAGAAACCAGTCACTAAACAAAACACTTTCGTGTAGAGAATAATATTTGTGTATACAGGGTGATTCAAGTTACGCAAAGTAAACGCAAAACGCAAACAATTTCTAATTTTTAGTTTTCCTCTGAGGTGTAAAACCAAACTTAATATCAATAATTTATGACTAATAAATTGCCAGTTTTTCCTTAATTAATAAAAAATAAATATCAATTCTTTTCAAGTTTATTCTACCGAATCAAAAGTTTAAAAAAATTAAAAGTTGCATAAAACTAGTTTGTTGCCAAGACGACAACATTTGCCCTTATTGTAATAATAACGCCATTAATCATTCATCTGAATGAGTGCCATCATTAATTTCTCAATTATACGACTGTTCATATACACTATTAAAGCACCATTATCTGTTGCCTGTGTATGTCTGTATTACTTAATTATACACTAAGGTTATATTTAGTTATATTTAAAAGCAAATATTAATAATATTACTTAATATTAATAATAATTACATAGTAAATAAAAAGTAATATTAAAACGCATTTCCGATAATAGAGAATAAATTAAAATAATTTTGTGTTTTAAAACGTAGGTATACATTTACTATCATTGATGATAAAACAAAACAATTATTCTTTTGTTTTCGTTATTGTGTTGTGTAAAAACATGTTCTGGTGGAAGTGAAATAATATTCAGCAGAGCCAGAGAATAAAACCAAAATAACAAAACGTGCTGTTTTTCGACGCTTCTGTTTGTTCACTCATTGAACTTCTGAATATATTTTTAAACCTGGTTCAAAATATTCATTACTTATTGATCACCTACTTCTGTCACTGTTTTATAAATAATTCATAAAAAATTATCCCAAGCGAACTTATCGCGAATTTTCACAAATAATTTGGTACTTAATTAATGCTTAATGATGGAAATATAAACGCGACGTTGAATTTTCTAAGGGGCAAGCAGTAGAAAAGTTCTTTTATCGTTTTTATTTTTGTTTGTTTTTAGCGTTGCTTTCAGAGATATCGACTAATCATAAAAGCCTAAAATCCCGATGAAAATAATAACTAAAGCGCTTTGCTCTGTTTATGAAACTAAATGGCCCACTGTCCACAATTATCGTTACAATAAACTAATCGAAAGCACAAATTAACGGTTTGTTGGCAATATGTTCATTGAAAATTTATGAAATGTGCAATTTAAAATTTATTCAACATTAACTGATGAGCTGATGTAAAAGATCGTGAAACATTCACATTGTACAAATTAGAAACTTTTTAGTATTGATTGAAAACTTATACGATCCGCCATGGTCAGCAACCTTTCCGGTTTATCCCTCTCCCCAAATATGTATAACTTGAACCGACGGAAAACCCTTCGCGTTCAACAGGTACTAAAGGAATACATTAAATGAAAATTGGATACACAATCTGCCCAATCATTTTTATTTCATTTTCCCCGAACTTTTATATGGGATTTCAGACTAAAAGTATCTACTCGAAAAAGAAATTCACTTTATAAATAAATAAAGCTACCCGGAAATTCATTTGAAATCTATTTAAAAATCTTCATTCCTTTCATTTGTTACGAAATACGCTTTTTAGCGAGAGGTAACTCTCACGTCTTCAATAAAATTCTGATAGAAACAACTGACGCAAAGAAGTTTTTTTTTCTTTTGGCAATAGCATGAACGATTTATAACGCTGAAATCAATAAAACGGATTTTTATTAACTTTTGTCTTCTTGAAATTTATCTTTTGAAATAAAATATATTACCATGCAAAACGACCTTTTAAATTTACAAAATATAATATTTCGCCACAAGACGCATGCCTCACATTACTGACATGCTAACTATTATTTTAACTATTAAAACTCAATTTAAATTAACTCGGAAGTAGGGGAGATTAGAGGAAGATGGGAAAGTTGAGATCACGCAAAAATTGATTTAAAAGTTATTTAAGCGTGAAATTTTTTATTAGCCTGTCATAACTTATCAACAGAAGTTGTTAAATACTTTTAAATATTCTTGACAAGCTCTTGCACACAAATGTTTATTCAGGTAAATAAAGCCACCATAAAAGGAAATGTGAGAAATATCTTCTAGTAAAAGAAATTAATTCTTGAAAAGACTACATTTCTGTTCTTACGTTTATTCGTTTTCTGCCTGTTTTATATTTTCTGCTCGTATCTTATATGCGTTTCCAAAGTGCGAGTAAATAAAATCTTCTGAAGAGTAAAACAGTGTTAAAGCTTTTTACGAGATAAACTGAAAACCCTAGCGAAACATTTTTACTGGACGAGGATTATTTAAGGAAACATTTCCATACATATATTTTTCCATACATACAGAGAAATACAATTGAAAGACAAATTCTGTTGGTTTATTTTTACAATTTTGTACAAAATAAAAGCATACAAAAAACCATATAAAATGATACGTAAAAACTACATTATTGGATTTATCAAAATCTTATCATTTCAAAAATGAAAAATTATTTTGCTTTACTGGTATTGATCAACGTTTTTACTCTACCAATAAATGAGAAAGAAATAGACTATAAAGTTGCATGTTATTAATCAAATGTTATTTTGTCATTTACTGAAAACTACAGTCATTATTTCTGCATAAATTCCATGTTTCAAAAAGATAATTCTATGAATTACACACATCTTATTTTAAGCAATCTCTAGATTGACTTAGTCCCAAGAATTAAAACGTCAACTTTTGTTTCAGGAAATAGACAAGACACATCCACCCGATGCATTTGTAATCCTTTATTCCGTCGTAGATAAGGCTAGTTTTTTAAAGGCCGAAATAGAACTGACCAAACTTCAAGATGCCGACCTATTAAGATCACGATCCGCTATTTTAGTCGCCAATAAAATTGACTTAGCAAGAAGCAGAGCCGTTTCTGCACAAGGTAAGTTGATGTAAAATTATTTTATTTAAAAGTTTTACATTTTATTAATATGCCAAGAACTAAAATAAGAACAATACAAATTAAAAGGGTTTTAAAATAACATCAGCAGTAACATTCCGAGTCAATTAACAAGTCTAACAACATAATTCCATTTCAGAATTTAATTTTAGATAACGAATGCTACATTAGCTACTTTTGACTAACGAGATTTAAATAAAAAAAAACCTAAAATTCAACACCAAACTAAAAAAAAGATATTTCAGAATGACAAAGATAAAACGATATAATCACTTCTGAGTGTAACCCCTTTACAGCTTTCTTAACCCAGAAAAAGCTTCTCTAAACTTTAGTCCTTTTGCATTTCAGTAATCGTCGGGCTTCTTTCTGTCTCTGACGCTTCATCACTTTTTTTGCAATTTGATACAAAAGTGTTTTGTTTACTACAATTTCACAGAAATTATTGTAAAAAAAGCAAACCATTATGATTGCAATTCAGTAGCATTTCTGTCACTGACGTTTGATAACTTTTTACAGTTGGTATAAAACAAAAGAAACAACACTTCCATTTGATCACAATTTAATAAATATTACACTTTTATAAAGATCGATCCAAAAAATACAACACAAGGTTCACTCTTGGGATAAATGTGTCTGTTTATTAATACACAAAAAGCCAGAGGTGAAACAACATTTTCAGTGAAAAAATATCTTTGCTCAAATTTCTTTTCATTTCCAGAAGCGAATTATAAATAATAAATCTGACATTTTTCGGGAAATTTTCCGTAAATTAGAGCTAGACTGTGCATGTCCAAATGATAAAACGTATCTAACCACGCACCTTCGTTTAATTAACGACCGTCTTCCATCAAGGACCGGTGCTTTATAAAGGGACCACAAAATTGCTGTATTTGAATTATAAATTATCATTTTGTCATAGAAATCTCTTGCTATTTTTACTAGATTTGTAAAACGCAAGAATTCGTAACGAGGAATGACGATCCGAAAACTTTTTCTTCTTGTACGACAAAAAATATTAAAACGAGTTCATTAAAATTACAAAGAATAAGTTTTCAAGCCGGTGCTGGTTGAGCAAGCAGAATTGTGTAATAAATAAAAATTGAATTAAATAGAAAGAGATCAGTACTAAAAGATGAGTAAAATAAATAGTAGTAGTAAAGTCTACAAAATAATTTTATTTAACAACAATACAATATGATACAACAAAAATGTATTATATGTATCAAAAAAAGTTATGAAGATTTAAAAATTGCACTATACTTCTACTTGATTTAAAATTGTACTCCTATCAAAAATTCCTGTTTCTCACGTGCAAAAATATTTTTTTAAGTAAGACCAAAAGTACTAGGAGAATTTAAGACAAAGCATTATTATTAAAAATTTTGCTTTGATTAAACTCTTTGTGAAACCTGATACATCTTATGTCTTTTTTAAAACTTTGAAATTTGATGTTTTATAAAAACACGTTATTTCATATTTTTTTCTTTAGATCCTGAAACCCAATTTTAATTTTTCACTACGTTATACAAATTATCCTGTATAGTACAAAAATGCTGTTATTCAGTCCGGCCTTGCGAATACAAAGATAAAACCCTTCCGAAAATATTTTTTGCCCATTATTTATTTGTGATCCGGAAATAAAACTGTTTATTAAAGTAATAAAAATATCGAGAGAAAAATAAAAATGCAAATATAAAAATTTTATTTTACGTCGTTACCCACCAAAAATTGACATTGTTAAATATTGAGAATTATTTTAGGTTTTTGTTTTAATTTACAGCTTTGTGGATTTATGGAAATGAACATTCCGTTTAATTTTCAGATGGCAAATGTCTAGCTTGCACCTTCAGAGCGAAATTTATCGAAATTTCTGTCGGCATAAATCACAACGTAGACGAACTCCTAGTCGGAATATTAACCCAAATAAGACTAAAAGCAGCAAGTGCCGAGGACAACGACCATCAGCAGCAGTGGTACAAGAGTCGAGGTATGATGAAAGCTAGTATGAAAGCAAGACAGATGTTTACGTGGTTGTTTGGAAAAGAAGATTCAAAATTTAAAAATTGTGAAAACCTTCATATACTCTAGCACTAGTTTCGTATTTACGGTACTATAATTATTATTAATAAAGGTGTTGTAAGTAAACAGACAAATCTTACTCTTGGACATTACTTCAAATTTATACATTAATAACTACATCAAACAGCTCTTTACATTGTGTTTATGAATACAGCTTCCTATTAAGTACTGCAAAATGTGGGCTGGGGCCAAGAAAAGATTTGAGTGTTTATATTAGCGTATTGCTTGTTCCAAGAAAGTAACATAATTGTCTACGTGTCCGGCTTTCTTGGAGACAAAGCACCCAATTTTACCAACGTTAGATAAATAATTCTGTCAAAATTACCAGGAGAAAAGCAAATTTGTGATTCAAATATTCAAATCCAAATTTATTTACAATTAACTATCGTTGGTAAAGCGAACAATGAAGCATATCTCAAAACATTTGTATTAATGTTGACTTTTCAATGATTCGTTTATGTTAAATATTTTTCACAGTGTGATTATATTTTGTCACTGATGACTGATGACTTTAGATACAATTATTTAAACAGATTACGTGTACTTAAAATATATATTTATATAAATTGTATGTCCTGTAATAAAAAATGGTGAATAAGACTTCGCTTTGTAGGTATATTGTGTTATCTATATCTATATCTTTGCATGTCATTGTCACTTTTATCTGCGGTTGCATTGCAAATGAAGGGACGAGAAAAACGTGAGAATTGAGGCGGGAGGAAAACTCAAATCAAAGCTAAACGCACCATAAAACTAAATGCATTGATAAATTATTTCTTTTCTGAATAAAAAAGTAGGCACTTTCCGTGGAAACTGCACTAAAATAAAATTTTAGTGCATCGTTTGAAAGTTTGCGAAAACTAAACAGATGATAATTATCCGTTTATCGACGCAGGACTAATTTCAAATATTAGAGCAGTGAACCGATTAATCAGTAGATTGAACCCGGGAGAACCCCAAAACAAACTGTTGAGTAAGTTCATTTAATAGGTCGCTGAAAATGTTAAGGAATTAATTACTATGCAAATGTTAAATGCGCTGTTTATACGCAGAAACATTTCCTACATTTTTGCTTAATTAAGACTTTTCAAAGTAAAATAATAATAAACTGTAGACAAATTGTATTTCACACTAACACATAATTGCGTTTTCTGGTTACCACCCCTATAATCTCCATAGTAAGCGAAAATCGCCGGGAAAATGGATTAAAATACGTAAACACGGTTTGGGTGTAGAACAGTAGAACCGATGATTATTTTATAAAATATTAACACATAAAACTCTGGATTCGAAATAGTTGCGGTTTATGGTGTACGAGACGGTATTTAATATTCGCGAAACTTAATTAAAGTCGTATTCAACAAAGTTCACTTTCAACACTTCAAAACTTTGGAGTTGAAATTCGCCTTGTGGACGTTTGTCCATTAAAATTGAAAAACTTGTACAAAGAAATTCCAAATTAACGTGACGTTTAATTTACGTTGTTTTCCTGTATAAAAACAGGATGAATTAAGTACTTAAATAATCGATCTGTTTAGATTGGATTAAAAGACGTAAATTCTATTGTATTACACAATCTACATCTTTCAAAAGTGAGTCAACAAACTTAAATCTTTGTATCAACAGACTCAAGTTCCATTCCGCACCAATCTGATATAATCAATATGAACCTATGGCAATTTCTGTTTCTACTGTTTGGGTGGAGAAATATTTGTTAAAAGCCCACAAAAATATCCTGACAAATAAGGAAAATATTTTTTATAGAACGTTGAGTTGTTTTTATTTATAATTAATTTAATCTGTAACAAAATGAACCCGGATAATACCGAGCTGATTGGCAATACACATGTCAACATCGTCCATTCAAAAGTCGCAAAAAAACGGAACTTGACTTACAGAATGATAAGAATGTGATATTCTTTATCGCTCGAACAATAAGGTGAAATATGGCGTTAATGCCAGTTTCTACCTTTATAAACTTCCTTTGAAGTGAAACTTGTTACAGTTTGGTAATAATACGTCAAAACCACAGCGCTTGTAAATTTGCACAATTGCATAAGGCAGAGATGTATGCTTTACATACTTGGTACAAAAATATACTTTCTAACAAAATTTTAAAAAGGCTATAAATATAAACTGACTCGTCTAATAATAAGCAACTCAAGTCCATTATATGATCAGTATGGGTAAAGCAGGGTGAATGAAATTATTATAATTTTATTTGACTCTTATTAAATTGTAATAGGCACATAAAACAAATAAAAAAATATAAAAACAAAACAAAAAATATTCATGTCCTTTTACACGTAGGTATAACTTGGGAACAACGACCTATAATTACTTGAACACACGCAAGAAAAAACATTTTTATATTTGCAGGTATATGAAAAACAAGTCAATGAACCGTATTTTAATTTTTGTCCCTCACTTTTATTCGTACCAATAAAAGAACAAATTAAAATTTGTATTCAAACTGTTGCTGAAATTTATTTTTACAGGTAGGTATCCTTAAAAATCACCGTTGGAAACGATATGTGTAATTTGTTCAGAAAAGCGATAATAATAGTTTTGAATAGCAGTTTTCAAGTTTTTCAAATACAAATCTATAACTGTGTTTAAAAGATGTTTTATGGGAGTTACTACCATGGCCTAAAAACTTCTTACAAACTTTTAAAAACCAAAAATAGTTACCAAGGGCCCATTTTAAATGTGATGTACCAACTACGTAGTTGTACTATTTCTAGTACATACTTAGGATAAACTTTAAACAACTGTCTTCCTCCTGCACACTTTTTAGTATTGTTAACCTTTAGGTACATATTTAGATTTCTTACAAGAACTGTATACTATACAACTTTATTACTTGTTTTTTGTACAACTTTTCCTATACTTTTGACAATAATAACTGTATGTTGTATAAATAAATATATTTCTTTGAGCTGTCTCATTTATTTTCAAATCTCACATAAGAGAGTACAAAAATTTACAAGGGAATCAAATTGAGAACATATAATCAATAAATTTTTCCATCATATTCAGATATCATGCTATAAAACCATTCGGAATGTAAAAATAAATAAATAAATACAGACAATACTGAGAATCGTCAATTTATGCGTTGTTTAATCTTTTACTCCTCTCCTTGCTACGTATTTCTTTTTCGATTTCAAATCTTCGTAAGTCGGCCCTTTGCAAAAAATCTTGTCTTTCCAAATAACTGAAAAATATATTTTTAGTACAAGTGCAAATGTGGTTAAACCAGAAATTTTACCCATCTTTGCCTTTATTATGGTTCAGAAGTTCTTCCTGGAGGTTCTCCTCTTTTTTAAACTGATCCCAATCTAACTTAGACTTCTCCAAAGTACTAATTTTAGGTTTTTTACCCAATTGGCTTAAAATTCCACTTAAGCCACCTTTACTTTTGAAAGCTTTACCAGGTTCACTAGTAGATTTATTTGATAGTCTCGCGTCAATTGAATCCTTTACAACTTCTTTTTCTACTTTAACTTCCTCACCAGCAAACTTGAACACTTGAGTTATTTTAACCGTCTCTGGTTTCTTTTCTTCTATGTGTGTTTTTTTCACACTGTCTACTGTTGTTGATTTACTACTATTCGTTGGTAAATTTTTAGCTATATCTTTTTTCGACTGAAATCCAGTATCTTTCATGAAGTCGGCCCATATATCATCAGCTAATTTCTTTTTTTCTTCTTCCGTTACTTGTTTAGATTCGCTCTTAGTTGTTACAACCTCTTCTTCTATTGGTTTTTGCTTCTTTCTGGCTTTTGAAGAGTGCTTTGTTCTTTTTTTCGCTTTAGCACTGACATTTTCACTGTCTGAAAGATCGGATTCAGGATCTCCGTCGGATTCAACTTCAGAAACGTTTTCTTCTTTTTTATCGGGAACGTAATCTTCATCGCTGCTGTCGCTATTCTCCGGCAATTCTTCAGGATCCATTTTATCAAAAGTAAGTTATCCAAAAAGCTAGAAAAATAGAAAATAAAATAAATTATATATGAAACTCTTAAAAGTTTGTAAATTGAAAATTGTTTAGGAAATTTCGAAAATTTTCGAAACAACTAACGAGTCTTTTCTTTTAATTTGGCGTCATAGTTATCGGTGACAATTATAATATGTATTGTGAACGGACCACTATTTTTAATACGCTCGGTGAGTTGTCAAATGTCAGATTAATAACTTTCAATACGATGGCGATGGTTCGTTCACAATCAAACTTTCTTGGATAGCTTGAACGCTAAATTAAAAAAAAAACATCCGTTACTATAAAAACACAAATAACCGAACAAATAACAATCACAGTTTTGTCACTACATGACCTTGACATTCTTATAAACTTGAAATTGAGTTTACAAGTATTTACTTTTAACACCGTGAACAATTTTAAGTAATGGGCGGTAAAAATTGATAAATAAAACTGTTTTTTTTTTCTAATTTTCACAAAAATACTAGAATGGAAAAAAGGGCTCTTTTTAGTGCCAACTCGGTAACGAAATTAGTAAATTCTGTGATAATTTTGAAACGTCAATAAAATGACATTTTAAATTCGATGGAATTGAGGATATTTTATATAAAAGATGCAAAAAAAATTAGTAAACTTTATAAAAGCACGTTTTCACATGTAATTATTATTATTGCACAAAAAATATATAAAAATATTGCAACACTTACCATTCACTTATAGATAAAATTCACAGAAATCTATTTTTCAATAAGTATTTACAAGTCCAATAATGTGTAAGGCTTAAGAATTTGCAAAAAAACTCAAATTGCCTCACCTGAAACACAACCAACAAGGGAAGCCATATTAGAATGCACACCAAAACGCATAGACTATAAAAATTCTATTTTTGTACCTACAGTTTCTAGAACTTTGCAGTTAACAAGAAAAACCAATCGGTTTACCTGATTTCATTTCCTTTTAAAAAAATTTATGGATTTTTCTTTGACGTTTACGGTTGCCAGACCTAGTGACTTTGAAGTTATTCTGTTGGCACTAACACTGCACTAAATATTTACAACGAAAAAGGTTAGAAAGCATTATGACAGAAAAATAATTAAGTGTTTTTTTCTTATCTATTACATATCTCTGTGAGTTGAAAACTCGATGACTATCATTACAATGAGTCTACATTTATTCAAGATGAAAGTCAAGAATTAACCAACCGTACTTTATTTATTTCTTGTCATTAAAACTTGTTTATGTTAAGTAATGTTTGTTGTTGCAAGGTAAATATTTCATGTTATAGCTCATATAATTGCTAGATTATTACCAAGTGCATTAAACAGGTTACTAAATGAACGCTTCATCATGAAGGGACCCAATTGTGCAGTTGATAGTGTCACGTAAAGAAAAAACTGTTTAAGAGAAATGAGCAAAAGTATGGAACTCGATTCTGTGAGCAACGTGCTTTGGCTACAGCAGGCTGATGCTTTAAACACCTTTACTAAGATGTGGTATCACGTCTTCCTTTGGGCCTTGTTTTCTTCTATTTTTGTGCATACGGTGAGAGAAGACAAAAATCATTAACAAAGTATTCTCACACAGCATACACATGCACCCCACTTCTCAAAAGATTTGAGAAAGACTGAAATATTAAGGTTATTTTAGGCGTTGCATGTTCTTTACTGCACCTTTATTTGAACATGTAATGAGAATTGAGCATTTGTTACACATCATTTCAAGATTTATCAATAACTTCAGTTTCTTAATCATAATCAAGACTTCAGTAAATAAGAATCCACAACACGGCTTTAGTAACAAACTATTACATTTGTTTTAGCTTTTTATGTTGACCACATTTACATTCAAACAAATATTTGTGTCTATCAATGCTAATTCGAAACAGTTATTTCGTGACCCTTGAACCCATGAATATATCTTAAATTGAATTATTAAAAATACATAAACTGCGTTGGAGATAAAACTAAAGAGCAGACAAAATTTTCATTCTGTTTATGCCTTGTGAGCAAAATACAACTAAAAATAGTACAGATAACGTTTGATACTGTAATATTAGGTTTAATTGTAATAATTTTAATTTCGCTTCATTCATGAAAAAATTATTAAAATTTAGTCTTGTCTGGTCCATACACAATTATTACATATCACCAACAAAAAATTGTTAGTCTTTTAGGTTCTTCTCAAGCTAATTTAACTTTAAGTTTCATTTAGGTATAGTCAGAATCATAAAAAGTGGTCGTAAAAACGTAAAAGGTCATTTTTTATGTAGAAATATAACATGGCTTTGGACTATTTTCTTTCAGAAAACACTATTATTATGTATTTAATACAATAAGATTAAGAGCAAAAAAGTTACACACCTATGAGACATTTTTAATTAAATCCAACTTGTAGTTCATAAAACCATGCTGGGGTACATATTAGCAAAATTAGTTACAATTTCTAATAAAAAAAGGCCTTTAGATTTGTCGATGGTTTGTCCAGAGCATTTGTAATAAAGTTAAAGCTTTTCTGACAATAGACTTCTTTATTAAGTAAAAAGCTATTTTTGATTTAATTATTTCCGGTCAATACACAAATAAATAAAAACAAATGAAATTTGTATTTTTGGAATGTGTAAGATCACCGTTTAATTACCTATTTGAGCACTATTTACCACTCTAATAAATTTTGTGTTTTTAAAATCAAATATTACTTAATTTTCTCATTTCAGATTGCCGGATTGATCGCCTTTCTTACATTAAGAAAACACAAATTCGGCAAATTTTTTCCTTTGGCGATACTTCTGATGGGTGTCGTCACTCCAGCCATCACCGGAATCGTGAGCAGTGCAGCGATAGCATTTGTTTATCGAGCATCGAGTTTACCAATGAATCCCTTGTATGCATTGTTTTGGGGTTGTGGACAAACGGTGTTGACAGCCTGTATGGGATTCACACGCATCCTCGCCACACTCTGAATGTGTAACGGACTCATTTCAATGATTTTAGATAATTAATTATCTATAATAAATGTGATGGTGCTAATCGCATATGAATATAGTGCAGGTATTTTGTATCGTTTCTCAAGTCATAATTTATTTTTATTTAGACTAGTCCAATTGTTCATATTATGAATTGTAAAAATACACAATTTAGGGTAGGACCATTTTGTATATAATGCACTGTAAAATAGTTACATGAAGAAAGTAAATTCTATTCCGCCTAAAAGTTTTTCTTTCTCAATGTCACGTGTTAAAGGATGTTTGGATGAGTAAAAATCCGGTTTTAGCTGTTGTAATAATATAATTATTTAAAATATTCATGTACCCAATAAGTGTGTAAATTATTTTGAGGTCGTGGCTGTTTTTTTGCCAATTGGAGGAGAAATACTGAACGGGCCACGAGCGTTTGATTTAATCAGATTAGGCGCAGTGTTTGAAATTAAATTTATTTGTGTTTAATTTTTACAAAAAATGAAACTGAAAGCACATGTGTAAAAATCGTTTTTAACACTACAAATAAAACACAAATTATCAATTTAATATATACTTAGCATATAGAGATTCAATGTACATTGTATACTTTTAATTTTAAATATGGTTTAATACAAATGTTGGTGCTTTAACTAGTATGGAACTGATGAGCCTTGTCATCGCGTCTAGAAGTTCTCATTACTCCAGTTGGGTAGACATTCATCTACGATTGACTCCTTGGCCACCACATAAATACAAACATGAATTAATAAATACGGAACATTTATTACATAAACGAAAATTTCTGTAAAGCAGCCAAGGAGGACAGATATATTGTCTATTAAACACATACATCACAATTTCTCTATGACAAATCTATATACAAGAAACAAAGGCCCTGTAGAACCAGATCAAAATAAATTAACATAACAGCAGACGGCGCCAAACTTGCTCATGAAGTTAAACTATGAAATAAACGCTCTGGTCAGCTAACAAGCAATTTAAAATAATTCAGTCACCTACAATCTGCAGCACAACCAATCCCAGAAATAATTTACACAAGGCAGTACTCTACTGGAAAACGCTGACAGCAATGGTTCCAATAGAAGATTGCTTACAATAAACTAATTTTGGGTTCAAGTCTAATTGTATTAGCTACATAGAGAGCAACAACTCATTTCTTGTTGAGCCATGGGTGTTGAAGACACTCCGCAGCCGTGGCCCTCGTATTCGGGTCAAAATCCAGCATGGGCTTCAAAAACGCGGCAAACTCCTCGGCGTCCTGACGGCTCCACTCGTACTTCTCCGTCAAGACATCTTCAAGGCCCCATGGCTTCAACCCTGTGATGTGCCTCAACTCGTTCTTTTTGTTGAAAATCAGCTTTGAATTCCGTCCACTTTGGGCGATCCTGCGCGGGATGTTGCCTAATAATTCTATAATATGGGCTAGGTGATCCTCGTCTCTGCAGTAATCCTCCCCCGAGTGGGGCTCAAACAGGTAGTCGCCCGTCGCCAGTTCGAAGGCCATACACGCGGTGCTCCAAATATCGGCCGACGTGCCGTACTCGGCCCCCAGGAGCACCTCCAGCGACCGGTATTGGCGCGTTTGGATGTCTTCAGTGAAGTGCTTGTCGACCCAACACGCGTTACCCAAATCGGCAATTTTCACTTCAAAATCACAGACCGTAAACGCCGGGTCAGCCTCGACCTTGAGCTCGCTTCTGGACGTCAGCGAGGGGGAGTCATCTTCGGACATCTGCATGACAGCTTCAGTAACGCTGTCTTCGCCCGCCATCGCAGGGGCTTCGCCCCCAGCGAGCTCATCAAGGCAACCATTGGACAGTTTATCTTCTGGGCCCTCGGGAGTCGACTCGGGGCTGGGACTAGTTCCGTTACAGTCGTTATCTGTTACTATATCGCCGTTTTCCTTCACCTTCTTCTGCTCTTCTATTTCTATGATTTGCTCCATTTGACGTTTAAGTAGTTCATTAAGTCGTTTCGCCTTTTTCTTCAGCTTTTTCTTCTTGTTTTTGCTCATTTTCGTCGATTGTACTTCTTGGACCGGTGCGGTACTTACAAGGGACGTGGGTAATTTTAAACCTAGATGATGCATTTCAGCCGCCTCACACGCTAGTCTTCTGATATACTCTTCACTCACACAAATCAGGACATTTTCGGGCTTGATATCGGTATGAATTATTTTACATTTGGTATGTAAATAATCGAGACCTTCTAAAACTTGCCGCATAATCGTGCGAACATTGTCCAGAGGAATCCCGCGGTAATTAGATTTGATTATCAATTTTAACAGGTGGTGGCCGAGTACCTCGAAGACCATGCAAACGTGCACACCGTTGATTCCACTGATTTTGAAGTCGTTCAATAACTGGACAGTCTTGTTGCGTTTCGGGTCTGTGGGGTCAGACTCCCGCACTGCTTTTAAAATTTTAATCTCGTCAAGAGCAGTTTCAGTGAAGTGTTCAGCCGATTTGACGATTTTCAGGGCAACAAACCTCCGATCCTGCAGGTCCCAACACAGCCACACCGTGGAGAAGTGGCCCCAGCCGAGCTTCCTGGTGACGTGATAGCGATTGAGAAACAGGTCGCCAATTTTGACAGGGTGGTAACCCCCTTTCCTGTAATCATTGCTGTCTTCTTGTTCTTCCTCCTCGCTCGTGTATGGGTCATCCTGATCTTCAATCGTCTCATTACTGGAGCTGTGCGAAGGCTCTGTCTTCGAATTGATCCGGTTTTCGCCGTGGCCGTTCATTTCGTTCTTACCTTTTTTCTTAGCTGGCTTATGTCGTTTCTTTTTAGCTTGGATAGCTAAGACACGTCTATTTACGTCCAATTTTGCGCTCATTTGTGAAATTGTTCACTTAAAAACCACAGTAAATCAATGAGAATGTCAAATAATCGTCATTTCTACGAAAACAGTTTTGTTTGATTATGGCCGCCGAGCTCGACGAGAATTTTAACAAAAACGACTAGCGACTGCGGCGCAGGACAATCGCTGCGCAACGTCACTATCGAATTGTCGAATTGTGTAAACTTCGTTTCATTCCTATAAAAATATCCTTAGATTAAGGTGGGTAATTTGAAAAGAAACACAAAGTAAAACTGATTTGACAAATGTCATTTTATTTCGATTATGTCAACTACTTCAATTATGCCACAGCAAACAAAAAATTAGTCACTTTAATTTGGCGGGACTGTCAAGATTTGAAAATTTTTGTCCACTGCTGCTGCTTGTGGTTAAAGATCTATAATATTTTAAGTTTTAACGACCGTAAAAAATATTTTTAGTTGCTTTAAAATAAAGCTTAATAGCACAAACAATAAAGTTTTAAATGGACACTCTGTGTGGCATCAAATCGCGGAAAACATAATTATTTTTTTTAATAGCTTGATAACTTTTTTCAAAATTTGTAATTTTAGACTTAAGTGATTTCTAAAGTATAGAAATTCAACTACAACTAGTTTCACAAAAATAGTTAGAAAAATGTAAGATAAGATACCAGGAACATAGGGAAAAAATGTTAAAAAAAAATTATCTAAAAAATTTCGAAATTCTGGAAGTTTCAATTTTTCACATTGACTATTTATTTCTGTTATAAAAATAATTTGACATATTTTTTGCTGCAAGCTACATTGGCAACACGGAATTTTGGACGATTTGTCATTCGAGTGACATAAAAATGTAAAACGGGCCTTAGGCAACTAACCTCACTTTCGGTTTTTGTAATTTTTATCCTGATAGCTAGAGAAAAAATGACAATAACAAATCAAAATAATTTATTGAACTTATATAAAAACACGTATTGCTAGCATTATTGTTTCGTAAAGTTGACGCTAAACAACTAAAACTTTCAAATTKTAGTTTCAAACGTCAATCATAATGACAATAAAGCGTGACTTACATTGACATTTTTTGAACTGACATAAATATGAAGTCCAAAATTCCGTGTCCGCCAGTGTATTAGACAAGGAAACAAAGAAGCTGTATTCTCAATTGTGACAATATTTAACGTTATTTGTGGCTTTTATTAACAAAGTTTTTGTACATTTTCTGAATAATTATAAAAAAACATATACAAGATAATCGGTAACATTAATAATAAGTACACATAAAAAAGCTCAAATGACAAAAAATATTTGTTAAAATTTTTTGACAGATAAAATTCTTTAAACATTTTTTCCATGTCTCTGGTATCTTATATTAAGTACTTGGAAATTTTCTCTGAGACATGAGTTCTAGAACATCCTATATATTAGTTTATCCGCAAAGGTATTTAGATCGAGAGTAAAGAGCAACACTATTATAATTAGCAAGTAAATGAACAAAATAATCAGGGCGTTTTGCAAGTAATGAAATTACAACAACGCTTATAAACAATCATTTGTATTAAAATTTTCTAAAATGTTTATTAATTTAACTAGTGGAGTTAGTAGTGCAAAATGTCGAATACAGATGATGTACATTTACAGTATTGTCATTTTCATAATGTAAATTCTAAAAGAACCTGTACATTAATAACCTTGTTTTTTACTCTTGTCATGTATATGTCATTTTCACTTATTTACTTCCAAAAATAGTGATTTGTGGCATAATAACGAGTAGGCAGCAGATCAAAGCGACACTTAGTTCAATTAATAAATTTCCCAAGACAGACAAATTGTTTAATTAACCATTTTAACAACAAAAAAAGTTTTACGTAAGTTACCACGACTGAGAATTTAGTTAGGTGTATATTTAAATACACGAATTACATTTTCAACTATACTTTTCGTTATACTAAAAGTACAGTTGGAGACAAAATACTTTGGTCGTCACTTTTCTGACACTTTAATGTAATTCAAGCTTTAACGTTAAAATGAATGACAATTTCAAATTAATGACAGCTATTATATTTTCCTATCAAAAATATGTACATACAACTTGTCAACTATGATTGACAGTAGCTAAAAATATGGTTAACAGTCATGCTTTAATTAACATGCTTTACAATTTAATGTCATTCAAGTAACATTGACGACCAAATTATTTTGTCTCCAATTGTTCCTAACAGACCTTATTTAGCTAAATGTCAAAAATAATAAAATTTTGATCAATAACAATTTTTAGATGAAAAAATTAAGAGGTAGAAATAATTAATTTTTAAATTTAAAAACACAAACAATATAATCCTTTTTTAACTAAAAAAAAAAGATTATAAGAACACATTCAAATAAAACTAGAAAGGCCGCAACCATAATAAAGTTTTAAATGGACATTCTGTGTGGCATCAAATCGCGGAAAACATAATAATTTTTTTTTAAATAACTTGGGATTTTTTCCAAAATTAAACATTATTTGTAAACTTAAGTAATTTCTAAAGTATAGAAATTCAAATACAACTAGTTTTTCAAAAATAATTAGCCCCATAGAAAAATGCCAAGCAAGATAAGATACCAGGAACATAGGAAATGCCAAGTAATATAAGATACCAGGAACATAGGAAAAAAATTAAAAAAAAAATATCTATAAAAATTTCTAAATTCTGGAAGTTTCAATTTTTCACTCTGACTATTTATGTTGTAAAAATATTTTGACATATTCTTTGCTGCAAGCTACACTGGCGGACACGGAATTTTGGACAATTTGTCATTGGAGTGACATAAAAATGACCAAATTATTTTGTCTCCAGTTGTTCCTAACAGACCTTATTTAGCTAAATGTCAAAAATAATAAGATTTTGATCAATAACCATTTTTAGATGAAAAAATAAAGAGGTAGAAATACCTCTGTACAATAATTGCATTAATTTTAAAATTTAAAAACGCAAACAGTATGATCCTTTTTTAAAGAAAAAAAAGATTATAAAAATACATTCAAATAAAAATAAAAAGGCCGCAACCAGCATTACACCAGTGCCTTGTGAGACATGGTAGCGTTGTGACTGGACTAGTGTAATATTCTGTCCGAATCACTTCTTCAATTTTCACCAATGCGCATAGGTGAAATTTCGGTTGCGCTTTAACCGAATTCGGAGGGAAAATAAAATAACGGTGGGTTCTGTTTACCAATTGAAAAAGTGATATTACAGAGCATCTAACCTTATTTTAGATCATTCTAACCGAAGAAAATGGCTCAACCCTCGGTGGCCCAGTATTTTAATAACAGAAAACGTGCGGCTATCGATGATCACAAGACAGAATACCCCACAAAAGTTTTACTACTGGACCAGGATGCAGCGACTCACACACCAAAAAATGGTCTTCATGGGACACAAATAAGCTCCCCAAATGTATCCAAAATCATAGTGAAGAAGCCAGAAACAAGTAAAATTGTTAAAAGTACCAATCTTGAACAACAAAATGTGTCAAGAAAGGTTATCAGAGCACCAAAGAAGAAAATTAAAGCAGGGTCTAATCAAGACATTCAGAGTCTTCTGAATAATATGCGAAATATTGAAAGATGTGTAACTCCACCAAATCCGAGTGAAAAAGACGCAAAAAAGGAATTGGACGATATTAAGAAAAAAATATGTAGAAGCTCAAAGTTGAAGGAACTCAAAGCGTCTATAAGTAGGTTCAAAGAGTCAGCAGAACAGCTGAAGGTTGTTGAAAAGAAAACTGCTGATTTGTCCAAATCGCCACAACTGAAGACATTCAAGTCAATAGAGTTTGAAGTACTAGTTAGGTAAGATTTTAAATAATTAACAAAAATTAATATTTGTAAATCACAGTCACTATTTTTTCTTTTGTGATTTAAAAAAATAGTATCTTCCGGTATTTTAATCAAAGTTCAGAAAACACAGAAGCTTTAAACTCTTAAAAATTATTTATTGAAATGTTGATAGTACCTATCTTCAAGATTGGTTTTGTTTTTGTTACAAATAAAAGTAATAGGCCATTAAAGTTAATTAATGTGTGCTCTTAAAATTTTCCTTTGTTTGGAATTCGGAAATTCTTTAAAGATAATCTTGCTAATGGTAAAAGGAAATAATTATTGCCCTATACAGGGTGAGTCTGATTGCTTTCTTATTGCGTAAATTTATTGTCGATTAAAATGCTTGCGTTACAATAATAATAAACAATTATAAGTAGAAAAATAAACAATAAACTTAAATTAGAAACGTGATTTTAATGTGGAGCACATTTTAATACGAAATCAATCCACCGTTAAAATGTAAATATCAAAGGTCATTATTTTTCAGTCCTCAAAAAGTCCAGTCACCTGAGAAGCCATATCTAAGCCCTAAAAAGGAACCTAGTGTCCGCCGTAATCTCCTCAGTGCCTTGAGCCCCAAAAAAAATCTCTTCACTGCCACTGACACTTCGCCCAAAGAGACCGAAACTCTATCAACACAAGGCTTGCAATTACCATTCAAGTACAAAACCCTCGCTGAACTATTCCGTTCAATTGACACGGTTTCCCAAATATTATTCAACCGCAAGGAACTCATAACATTCAGAAAATTGAAACCTGCTGTTGAAGAAATGATCAAACGGAATCTCCTCCAAAAACATCTCGCTCAAATCAAATCGGTGTATCCAGAGGCTTACAACTTCACCCAAGAAAAAGTCAAAGTCTTTGGAACACGACAAGAACAATGGGAGTTGGTTTTGACCCCAAATATAACAAACTCGGAAGACATGACTTCGCAGATTCTCATTGATAGAAGAAGAGTTTTCATTGACACATTAATTGACAAAGTCAAAGACTACCATAACGAGTTTTTGTTAACACTGACGCCACCAATGATCATTTCAAAGGATAAAATCACCCGCTGGCATCCCGAATTTGATTTAGAAAAAGTCCCCGATGTCGAAGTTGCAGCCCTCCCGGAGCCCCCGTTTGAAGAAAAGTTCACTACAGGAAAACAAGTCCTGGAAAAGGCGCGACAAATGTTTAATTGCAACACCCGGATGGAACAAGCCTTGATGAAGTTGAAAGAAGCCCGCGAGAAGGCCTCAGTAACAAGTGAGGAGTCCTCAGGGCCAGACCAGGTAACCTCTGTGCTGAAAGGCATCCCGAAGGCGTTACTCGAGAAAGTGCGTCAAAAGCAGGCCGCCAAGGCTCTTGCCTCCATGACCAGGACTGCAGATAAGGAAAAGGAGGTGCAACTTTATTCTAGATTACCTGAAATCGCTCGCTTGACTCGTAATTTATTTGTTACCGAGAAAAAAAGTGTTTTAGAATTAGACTTTGTTATGGAAAAACTGGGTAACAGTTACCGCAGTTTTTTAAATAAGGCGGAAATGGAAAACCATTTAAAAGCAATCTCAAACGCTGTACCTGGATGGTTGGTATTTCATAGGCTAAGAAGTTCCGTCTTTTTAAAACTAGCCAAAAATGCTGACTTAAGTCAGGTTTTGAATAAGTTGGAAAAACTCGCCAAAGAAAAGAATGATTCGTAATTTGTAATTGCCGATTTGTGGAGTTTTATTTACCATTAAGTTCAAAATTTGTGTTTTTTTTTTAGAATTACATATTTGCGTCATTTCCGTTTTTTTCATGCAAATTGTGGTTTAGTTTCAGTGTCATTTTTTAATGAATAAATGAAATTTTGAAGCAGGTAATAATAATAATAGTTCCTTTTAATCACTGCTGTCACTTTAAATCCTTTCCTTCGGTAAGTGTTTTGGAAAATTTGCTGATTTGGGAGTATTTTTCCATTTTGTGTATAAACTGAGCTCATTCAATTAGCTAAAAATGGGATGTTTCCGACTAATTTTCTTTACACTTAATTTTTTTAATAAAGTAAAAATATATAAAAAATAATATTACTGTTTTCGCATAGTTGTTCATAACTACAGTTTTTATTAAGTTTATCGAACTACTTTTTCAATCTCTAATAAGCTTTATAGAAAAGACGTTTTGCTAAAACCCATTAAAATTTGTATTTCTTTTAAATTAAATGCAGTGTTGTTAAAAGTAAATCAGAGGGTAAACATATAAATCAGTGGAACCCAGCGGATTACTTACTTTCTTTTTGTCTAAAATACTTAAAATATTTTAAAAGTTTTTGGTGTTATTAAAGTCAAATATTTTAAGAAATTGAAAAAAGCCAGCTTATAAATAACAAGCCATTATTTAAGGCTGATTTTTTTATAATAGTTTGGTAAAACTCTACCACTACTTTAGTTTTAAATACCTGTTTTGTTCTGCTGGGTGCAGCAATTCAAGCTATTGTTTGGTTAATCATAAAATTTTTAGTAGGTCTTAGCAAAATTATTTTTCTATACTAGTTCTTAAAAATATCAATCAACAACTACAAGTTCCTATCATCAGTTCTTCTCTTTTACCAAGGAATATTAAGCCAAATTAGTATCCGATGGTATTATCTGTATTATATAGGAGCACAATTTTACATTTTCGTATGAATAAAATTAAAGAATTAAAAAAACAAGTTTGTGACATTATTAAAAAATTAAAATTATTGCTACATTACTTGTTATATCAAACAAAGATTTCCCTCTACTTTCAAACACTTCCCTGCTGTTACGTAACCGATGCGCTTGCTATTTAGAGTGGGCGGAGCTACAAATAAATTTGATCATATTATCACAATTTTAATTCAGATGTGACAATTAAACTAAGGTCAACTTGTTTACATAAAAGACTAAAGATAGACGCTTAATATTCATTGTGATTTACACATTTTCGGTCGGTTTCTTGTGGTCGCATAAAATTCGTCATGTCAGATCTCAATATTGGTGTATTAGGAGCCGGTGTTATTGGTTTAACAACAGCCTACGAATTGAAAAATAAATTCCGAAATGCAAATATTGATGTTATTTCTGATCGATTCAATGATAAGACCACAAGTCACGTAGCAGCTGGACTTTTCCGTCCTGGAACTAGTTTCTCAGGACCCACGGTGGAAATTACAAGGTAAAGAAATCTTGTTTATTGCTAATAATCCAGTTACTTATGAATGGTAGACAATGGATCAATGATTCTTATCACTACTGGGATAACATTTGGAATACACCAGAAGCAAGCACAGCTGGTGTTACTCAAGTTTCTGGTTATATTTTCACCAGTCAGTACCCACATATGGTTAAAGTAACTCACCTTTACACTCACGAGTACGCTTTTTTCAAACTAAATTATTCTAGAATGAATATATCGAAAAATTATTGCCCATTTATCGACGAGCAACTGAAGAAGAATTAAAATTATGTCCCGGGACGTGGAAATACGGCTGTTTCTTCACCACCGTTCTCACTCAATGCTCGTACTATTTGCCTTGGATTACCTCAAAATTGCAAAGAGAAGGAGTCCACATTATAAGTCAAAAAATCGAATCATTTTCACAAATTGATAAAAAGTACGACATAATCCTAAATTGCACTGGACTAGGGGCAAAATTTCTGTGTAACGATAATAAACTCGTACCAATGAGGGGTCAAGTCCTAAAAGTCAAGGCCCCTTGGATTAAAACGTTCTTCTATGGGGATTATGACACGTATATTATTCCCGGAATTGACTGTGTTACTTTGGGTGGCTGTCGCCAGTATGACTCGTACAATTTGGAAGTAAATAAATACGACCGTTTGTCAATCAAAGAACGGTGCGAGTCTTTGGTGCCAAGTCTGAGAGGCGCTGAATTAATCGCTGAAAGAGTGGGGTTGAGGCCGCACAGAGATGTGGTGAGGGTGGAGAAAGAAATTCAAGTGATTAATGGCAGAAAACTGAAAATTGTACACAATTACGGCCATGGCGGTTATGGGGTTACAACAGCGCCGGGAACTTCGCTATATGCGGTGCAACTTGCGACTGAGCTGCTCTCAGGCAACAGTAAACTATGAGATAAAAACTCTGAAAAAAGATAAATAGTCATATATTTTTACATAAATTTAAGTAATAAAATATCAATTAGTGAAAAAATGTAATAATAAGATCTCTCTTAAAATCTCTACCTCTACTCTATTCCCGTTAATCACAGAATAAATTTTAGCGATTGTGAAAGAGAGCTATGACTTCTTTCAGGGCACTATCACTTCTTTTTGAAAATACTTTGCAAATTTGGAAGGGTATTTGGTTTCGATCCAGTTGGTTTCGTAAAAATTTTACTCATCCGGTTTTTCATTTCTTCAACTCCTTGATTGACATTTTGGCCGAGTTTATTCGAGTGTTCTGATTGGGAGTGAGAAGCGGAACTCTCACTATGCTCGTCACATTCTCGAATCATTGATAGGATGATATCTCTGTGACAGATTAGAGACTGGTTTTCCGTCACTGCAGTCTCCAAACATCTACAATTTTATTTTAAATCGGTGTAAACTACTTTGGTCGCTTACCTCAAGCCTGGAATTATAAGTGAAGTAATGTCTTGTTTGTTAAATGGACTGTAAACTACTGTTGTGAAAGCTTCAATTAAGGCATTTGCTAAGTCGATTTTTCTAGTCTGGTTTGACATTTGCGATAAGTACGTTGAGACTAAAGATAGCTGCGGCAGGATTACTATAAAATGATTTTTGTAATAATTAACTACAATTAAAATATCAGCTCACCTTCTTGTCTGAACTGCACCGAACAATGGTTTACAATGCTGCCCAACGTGACGACCAATTGTCTGATCAATGTATGATTTTGTTTCACACTAGGGTCCGTTAAGTAATTCTGAAATTGCACATAAACCTTGTCATGAATTTCTTTCTCATTACAGTTGGTTATAAGAGTACCCAGAGCTGGAATTGCTGCCGTTTTCACCAATCTATAAACTCGCCTTGATGTTTTTGTATCACAATTTTGTAACACTTACGTGTCATTATCACTGGCCAAAGTAACAAGACCTGGTGTAACTTTCAAACTGAGAAGACTTTTATCACAATAGCCCACAATTGCCGAAAACAAATCTGCAGTAACGGCTCTCACTAAAGGACTTTGATGTACAACACCCTCCCATAAACTTGTAACAACAACGGTTTTTAAACCATTTTCGCATAGTCCTTTCACGGAGACTTCTAAACAATCCAACGGAGTGCCGCACAAGGGAAGAGTACATAAAAACTTTGTCAAAATAATAGACAGTTCTTCTTGATCACAGTAGCTTAAAACAGAGACTAGATACACTGGAATTATGTTCAAACTTGGGGAATACTGATTGAAATTCGAGAAAATTTGTTCGAGATTGTTAACTTGGACTTGGAAGATGGGTTGTATCTTGTGTTTTGTGAAGTTTTTGCCGAAAAAGATGCAAATATGGGAGAAGAGGTTTATGAAATTTTGAATAATTGACTGGTATGTTATGTCAATATGATTTAGACTATTTAACAAATCCGGGATCCTATAAAATGGCAATTAGTAAATTAATTTTACACTTATTCAATTTACATCATGTCCAATATCCATGCCATCTCATCCCAAGAACTGTTCTGATTTTCGGCTATAAATTTATCAAATTCGTAAAGTACCATTCCCACGTTATAGTCCGACTTGCAAAAAACACACGGATTGGTTAAGTTTGAACATAATTTATTTAAATCAGCTCCTGAAAAATTTAATGTAAAATGGGTTTCGCTCACATACACAAAACTCACGTATATCAATTGTCATATCTTTTTCAATATTTGAAACAACTTCTTCGTGGAAAACAACCGACATTAAAATAAACGGCATCAATGCTTCTAAGACCTCAATAATGCATAATATTTTATTTGACTGTTTACTTGACTCGAAATCCCTAGAATAATCACTAAGTTTGTGCAATAGATATTTAATTAAATGCGACTTGAGCCGCCCTACAAAATAAAATCAAAATACAGTGATTTCAAAATTACATCAAACCTATAGAAAAAGCCCACTTTCCTAGAACTGGAATTAAAATTTGGATTGCCAGATTCACGATACTTGCACTAGAGTCATTTAAAATATTTAGCGTTATTTCTTCACACTGAAGATATTTATCGGAGTCTTCACACAAAACCATGACTAAAGATAAAGCCCTGATGACAGCCTCTCTGACTAGATCTTCGCGATCTTCGAGAAGTTGTTGTAACATTGACAGAATCAGTGAGTTTCGGATTTGACTCTGCAAACCACTGCGTTATCAAACATAATTATTTCATTATTTAACTCACTGAAACGTAGGGAATTAGAGCTGTGCAAGCCTCCGCTACAAGAAGTCGCTTTTCCACATGTTTATCAGTCAGTTGTTCCCAACATTGAGGCAAAATTTCATTCTCCACTAAATTTTCTCCTGAATATTTCGCGATCCCGACTAATCCTAAAACACAAATTTCAGAACAAAACACATTACAAACTTTTTATCCACCTGTGAGAATCATTATCCTTTCAGTATCTGAAGGCTTTTTCTTCAAATTAAACAATTGTTGCAACAATTTATCCCTTTCACCACTATTTGTATTTAATTGGACTGCGCCTATTAGCAAGGGGATCGCATCTTCTCGTTTGTTTAAGATAATATTGGGAATAATTTTCAACAGCGACAAGGATAAAATGTGAACCAAATTTTCGTTCGTTATAGAGTAGTTTAAAATGTCGTCTAATATCTCGTTGTCTACTTTTTGGGGAATATTAACGTAGCATAAGGAAAAAACTTCTTTCATAAACGGGTCTTGACTACAGACATAAGTTAATATTTAGTAATTGTGAAATGTGTTTCTTTACCTAATATCAATGTTAAGTAATTTGGAATTTTTTTCTTTAGGTGAGTCGATTCCTTTAGGGGTATTTTCATTATTTACGCTGTCATGAGATGTTATTGTTAAGTTGGTCCAGTCATTTACGTTGAGACTGCTGTTTGAAATATTATCTTCTAAAGTTATAATACTATCCCGTTTCTTAAAACTTGTCATGTTTTTATCTATAATTTCAAACCGTTCGGACGGAGATTCACTTCCGAGTGAGTCTTTACTATTGGTGCTTTTGTGAGGCAAATCAGTTTGACTAGGCAAAATCTCAGTTTCTTTAATACTACTTTTGAGTTCGTTATATTCTAATTCAAGATTCTTGAATTTGGCTTCCAACTTTCTCAGATCTTCCTCCTACACAAAACTTTATAAAAATTATTTAAATCACGAAACTAATACCTGTTCATTGATCTTCTGTAGCAAATCTTCGTAACTGTTGAGGTCGAAATCGGTTTGTGTAGCAGTAGACGAACAGTTTACAATTGTCTGTTTAAAACACTCTCTATACAAAGTGATAAGTTCGGGTGGTTTAGCAATATTTAAACCAACATCATCCCAATCATCAAAATCCTATAATTAATTTGTCACAGAGTAAAAAAAAATATAAAATTCATTACCTGATGTTGATTCTCATCCGCGAAAGTGATTGATGTTAATTTGTAGGAGTTTAAAAGAAGGTATTCATTGATTAAAAAATTTAAGGCTCTTTGTTCATGTGGTTTGATTACATCGGTGTTCAAATGTCTTATACATCCTTTATCGGGAGTACTGGTTTCGGATTCTACAATTCAATTTATTGATCTTAATTTCTTTCAATTTTATTGAGTCAAGGTCGTGTAATTGAAATGTTTTTGGCATCACAAAACAATAAAATTTTATTTCTGTGTACTTGCACTACAATTGCTTTAGAATTTGTTCAATTAACAATAAAATTTATTGGTAATAAATGGTAGTGTTTGTAATTATCTGTACGTGATTTCATTAAAGTAATTCCTTTTTTTTTGGTGTTTACACATTTTTTCATGTGTGCACTCACCTGTTGCCATTGTTAAATTGTTTCGTAAAGCATTGATAGTTTCTTTTGCTTTCCTCAACTCAAATTCAAGGACTGCTATCCTTTCATCTGTCCCAGCTCCATCCTCTGAATATCTGGTCAAATCTAAACTATCCAAAGTGACCTGACTTTCAGAGCGTGCTAAAATTTGATTTGTGAATTAAAAATCAACTTTTTGAGAATACGCACAAATCCGTGATGAAGTATCCTGCCAGGGAACTTCGAAGTTCCCCGGATTTGAAAAGAAATCCTTCAATTGCTTGACTTCTCTTCCACATTCAACTAGTTCTGTATGCAATTCCAAAGCAGTCAGCAGGAATTTATCGTGCAGTAGTTTAGTGGCTATGTCGTGGTAAGTGATCGCTTTAACTTCAAGCTGATTTTTTAAACCATCTGTGTTTGATATTTCAGCCATTTCGGGGATTTTTTGGGTTCACAACTAAGTTGGAGTGTTCTGCGTAACTTTCATGTTAAAACAAATTATGAAAGTGTTCAATGAGGAGTTTGTTTACAATGAAACCAATTTAGAAACGCATTTCTTGAGCAATTACACCGTTACAACACTTCAACAACAAACACATATTACGTTGACTTGCACCACTTGCACTGACTGATTTTCATAACCTTAAAAACAGTTGTCAAAATATACAAAACGTCAAAACAAAACCAGATGACCTTCAGACAGATCAACTTGTCATATGACAATGATTGTTTTTTGTTTTCTACTTTTCTGCACTCAATTTCCGCATTTTTTATAGCCAATTAAAAAACAGAGAGGAAAGCCCTTTTTCGCGCTGTGACTGCCTTGTAGTGATCTTATCGATTTTAATTAACAGTTATTATGATGGTTTTACCACTGATTTTTACTTATGAGTTAATTTTTCTTTGTCACACATATTTTTTAGGAAGTTCAAATTATAATATACTTTTGCGTATTTATTTTGTTCATCTGTTTAATTTTCGAGGTCTTTTATTTCGAATAAAAAAGTGTTGGGCAAAATATATTTTCCCTAAAATTTTATTTATGCTTATGGTATGGTACACAGCTTATTGTTATTGATGGTTATGGATTGTTTAGGCGCCTGTCAAATGTCATCAAAATTTTGAAAGCTGTCAAATATTAAGGTTACGTATAAACAAATTTAGACATAAAAAAAAACATTTAATTGAATTGATTAATTAAATCGGCACAGAGGTCTGACTGTTGTACATTTCATAGCAATGACTTGTAGGATATGTTTAATGAAAGTGGAGCCATCAAAAAGCATCAACATTTTTACGGAGGGTCGAAAAAAAGAGCTCATTTCCGACTTAATAATGAATTTTGCCTATGTTGAGGTAATGCATTATTTTTTAAACAGCTACGTTGAAAGTCTGGTTGCAGGTATTTGAAGATGATGATCTCCCCAAAACAATATGCTTGATTTGCCTAAAACACTTAAGAAACATTTATGATTTCAAAGATTTGATTATAAAATCAGACACACATTTGAGAGCCACACAAGATATATCGTCTGGCAGTGAATATAGTGAAGAGTCGTCAATGGAGGATAGTTTGAAATATCAACCAATTGTGCAAATTAACTTTGAAGATGCCCCTGTTACTTTTGAGTCAGATGGCGAAAAAAACAAAGAAGAAAATGTTGGCTGTTTGGATAATTTAGAAGAGAATTTCTTACTCAAAAATGAAGAGTCAAAGAGGAGGAAAGAATATAAGTGTGACCAATGTGATCACTCATATAAAAATAGGTATAGTTTAATTTTACATAAGACAACACATACAGGAAAATTTCCCCACAACTGTGACATTTGCAATAAGGGTTTTCCCACAAATTGGGCGATGAATGTTCACAGAAGGATACACTTTGAAGACAGACCGTTCAAATGTGAAAATTGTGATAAATCATTTAAGTAATTTTGCTCAAACTGTTAAACTTCTTTCTTATACCAATTTTTTTCTAGGAGTAAGAGCGCTCAAATAATCCATCGCAAAATACATTTAGGAATAAAACGTTACCATTGTAAAATCTGTGGGAAAGGATTTATCCAAATTGGAGGTCTGAGAGCCCATCAATACACCCACACAAATGAGAAACCCCTAGTTTGTGAATTTTGTGGTAAAGATTACACATCAAAACGGGCCTTAGACAAGCATTTTAGAAATCACAAGGGTGAGCCAAGCCAACCCTGCCCCGTTTGTGGGAAATTATATGCCGGTGAAGAAAACGTAAAAATACATTTGAAGACTGTTCATGCTCAAGAAAGAATTCGTTTCCCTTGTGAAGTTTGTGATAAAAATTTTTCAACAAAAGCAGTTCTTAAAATCCACATGAGGATCCATGAAGGGGTAAAGCCTTATTCTTGTAACATTTGTGGTAAAAGCTTTAGGCAAGCAAGTGTAGCTACACTGCACAAGAGGGTACATACTGGAGAAACGCCATTTCCTTGCTCCTTATGTGCGAAAAAATTCGCCTATAAGCACCATCTCAAGAAGCACATGGAGAGAGATCACTCAGAAAAGAAATTTTCCACTAATTAAATGTGTTCTTAATTGTGTTAATAAATTTTTGACTCGACTGTCGTTTTTTTATTGAATTGTCTAACAATAGGACATTTGGAATTAAAGAAAGAAAGAATTAAAGAAAAAAACAAATATATTTCATCAGCCTTTGATTAAACAGATCATGTTTTGAATTAACTGAAAAAACGGACATATAACTAACAACGGCAAAACTTAAGAAAAAATCTCCACATCCCAACCAGCTTGCGATCTAGTGGATGGTTTAATATAACCAGATTTCCCTTTCTTCTTGGATTTTCCAGTTGAGGGCTTGAATGCAACAGAAATAACATTTTGTAGTTCTGCTTCCTCCTTCTTAATAACCTTCGCTTTGATTGGAATTTCCTCACCTGCGGCAGACATTGAATGTTTGCGTTTCTTGTTTTTCTTTCCAACTTCTGAGGCCTCTGGAACTAATTTCTTCCCAGTTTTGGATTCAGTAAAAGTAGCAACTTTTTCTTTTTTGGATTTTTTAGCGTTTAACGGCTGTCTTTCCGCAGTTTTATCTTCATTTTCATCTTCTGTATCTGCAAAAAGTCCACTGGGCAAAGTTTCTGACATATAGTTGCTAATAGAGAAAAGTTTCCTAGTTTTCTTAGACTTTTTATCTTCATCCAAGTCGACCTTTGACTTCTCATTTGCACTGAGAGATTCTTCTGTTACTTCATCGCTTGCATCTGTCTCTGAATCAGATGCTTCATCGGTACTTAGTTCCGAGTGGGTGGCATCGGGATCTGGTTTCCAGGAGACATCATCATCATCACTGTGCCAAGATTCATTTAAGAATTTTTCAAAATTTTTAGAAGAATCATATCCCAACTTGTCTTCACCAGAGTCCTCAACTTGACTTTCTTCTAGAGAAGTATCATTTTTGTGTTTCTTCCACGGAGTAGATTTCGGCTTAGGAGAGTCGGCAACAAGCGATCCACGCTTTTTAGTTTTCTTCGCAGAGTTCATTTTTTCTTCATCTTCCACCAATTTTAAATCTTCTTTGTTTGGTGTTTCTTTGCAGATTTTACGCCTTTTGCTTCCTTTCTGAAAGTCCACTGGTTTTTCTTCTTCGGTAACGTCAGATGCAATCATAGAAATTTCTATCATATCACTTTTATCTTCATTTTCCGAATTATTAGCTGCGTACTCCATGGATACGTTGATGGAAACGTCGCCACTAGTTTTTATCGTTGAACAGAAATAATCAACCATGTTGTGAATACGACCGCTCAAATTCGTTTCTTTGTCCTCATCTGCTTTGATAGTTTCTTGTAAGCAGATTGATACACGATCTGACAACCGCTTACACATACTCTGTGACATAACATCTTCGGATTTAGGCTTGAGACGATTTTCATCATCTTTTTCAAGTGTTGAGTTTAAAGATTCAGCTTCTTTTGCCACATTTGTGTCTTTTCCCTTTTCTGTAGAAACAAAAACATCATCACATGAAGAGATTTCTTCTTCACTATCGCTCACTACAACAGTAGAAACTTCTTTTTCTTGTGTAAGTTCTTTACTACGCTGGATGAAACAATATTTAGAATCAATAGATCTTTCGAATATACTATCTGATCGACTTTTATTTTTTGATGCAAACACTTCATCATCGCTTACACTGTTGTATTGCGGTTGCACTTTTTTAATTTTTTTCACGGGTGACGCGTAGTCTTCTTCGGATTCTGATTCCGCTTCAAATATTTCTTGTTCTTTTTCTGGAGTCACTTGCTTATTTTCGTTCACTTCAAAATCTTCACTTTCTTCAACCTCCTGAGATTTTTCGGTTTCATCTTCAGTGGTTACAGCTTCTTCCGTATTTTCTTTGTCGGTGATGTCTGATTGAGACTTATCACAACTATCAGTCTTTTCGTTTACAACAGAATCTTCCTCTTTACATTCCTTCTCTGAAATATTTACTTCAAACGAGTTATCATTACTAGTGTTCTTTGACACGATTGAACTGTCAGCATCTTCTAACATTTTAGGTAATTCTGTTCTATTGGTGTCTTCCACTACGTCACCAATTGTACTAATGCTATTTATTACAGGCGACTTTAGTGATTTTACTTTGTCAGAAACCTTCCCAGGAGTTGACTTCAGTGGACTTTCAACAGTTCTATTTGACTCTTGTTTTTTGACACTTCCGGGAGTAGTCCTCTTTTCATTTAATTCTGTTTTAGAAGTTTCTTCCTTTGCTTTAGGTGTTTTTCTGGGAGATGGACTTCTTCCCTTTTGTTCTTTCTGTGTAGTTTCAGAAACTTGTTTTCCAGGTGTGACTACTTCTTTCATAGGGCTTTTCACCGTTTCCTCTTCGTCGAGCCGTATTGTAACAGATTTTATTCCCTTTTTGACACTTTCTGGAGTAGGAATGTTTTCATTTAGTTGTGTTTTAGGACTTTCTTGATTTTTTGTAGGTGTTTTCTTCGGAGATGAACTTCGTCCCTTTTGTTCATTCTGGGTAATTTCAGTAACTTGTTTCTCAGGTGTGACCACTTTTTCCCTTAAACTTTCCGACTTTTCCTGTGCGTCAAGCCGAGGAGAATTGATTCTAGGACTTCTTCTAGTCGGAGTTTCAATAACTTGTTTCACAGGCGTGACAACTTTTTCCATTGGGCTTTCCAACTTTTCCTTTTCGTCAGGTCGAGGGGAATTGATTCTAGGACTCTTCCTAGTCGGTCTTTCTAGTAACTTTTTTGAAGATATTTTCTCTGTTAATGATGAGTCTATATTTTCAAGCACAACAAAGGCGTGTTTGATTGGAGTAGCTATTTCTTTCTCTGGACTCTTCTCTTTTTCCACAACTGATCGATTCAATTCCTTGTTTTGAGTTTCTACCTGACTTTCTGCTGTTTCCTTTGAAACTTGATCCTTTGGTTTGGTAGTTTCTTCAATACCGTTCACTTTTTGCGTAGTTTCGTTCGAAAAACTGTCGGTATCTGAATCTGGTGCTTCTGTTTTTTTACAAGAGATTTTTTCTTTCAATGTATGCTCAACACTTTCATCGTTACTTTCAACCACAACAGCTTGCTTAACAGGAGTGTCTAATTTCTTTACTGGGCTCTTAATATTTTCTTTTTCAACAACTGATTCGTTCGATTCTTTCTTCTTTACTTCATTGTTAGCTTCGACATGGTTTTCAACATTTTCAATATTTTTTACAACAATGCGAACTTCTTCCTTTATAACTGGATCTTTTTCTCGAACAACCTTTTCAAAACTGTTAAATTTGTCCTGGGCTTCATTAAATAGAATGTCAATTTCTTCGTCATCAACATCCATTGGTTCAAATTCTGTTTCTGGAACAGGAATTTTGGGACAAACATTTTCTTTATTGCTGGAATTAGTATTCATTTCACTTTTATTACTATTTTCACATGTTGACACTGAAAGCTGCAAAGTGAAAGAATGTTCAGAATCGGATAAGTCAGACTTGGCATTTTTAGTTTCTTTTGTTGCTGTTGTTTCTGTAAGTTTTTCCTGAACCTCTTTAGTGTTATTATCGACACTTTTTTTATTTATTAATTCACTCTCGTTTTTTTTCTCAAGATGTGCAACATTTTCGGGGTTGCTCTCATCAGTTTTTCTTTTTTTCTCTGGACTTGCATCTTCTTCTGTTAAACTAGCCTCGTTAATCACACTCAAATCAAGATCTAATTTGGTAATTTCAAGCTTCAACGCCTTTTTGGTTTTAACAGACTCATCCGCTTCTGGTAATTCATCTTCATCAATTGGCTCCAAATTTGTGTTGACCGTTTCATTAGATGGCGACTTTTTTATTGGAGTAACAACAGGTATTTCAGATTTCTTCGAAGTCTGTTTTTTAGTTGTAATTTTCAAATCACCGACGCTATTACTTTTTGTTAGAGACCCAGTACGAGATCTAGTACTTCTTGTTGTAGATTTATCTTCAACAACATCTGTCTCATCAGTAATGGAACTTCTACGTCTTGTTGTTCTCTTTACTTCTGTCGTTAATTCTTTTGTAGCAGAAGAGCTTCTGGTTCTGGGTTTATTAGCTGGCTCTTCCTCTTCAACACTCGTTGACATAGAACCTTAACAAATAAATGTAAAAAAAATATGATAGAATTTTATAGTACCTTTTGTTGTGGTCTTCTCTTTGGCCGACTCCAATTCCTGACTGAAAGAAGAACGTCTGCCTCTAGTTGCTTTCGGAGTTGATGTTGTCGCTTCACTAGCTGAGTTTCTTCTACTTATGACTTTCGTTGGAACTGGTGAACTGCTACTCAAACGAGATGATCTTCGAAGAGGTGAAGCGACGACTGGTTCGTCTTTTTGGAGTTCTTTAACAGGAGTCTTTCTCGGCATTGTAACTGAAATTCCTATTCATTACTATTTGTTTCAAAAAACAGATAAATTAAATACAGTAGAACAGTTTTTGTAACATTACATAAAAAAATAAATATCAAAATAAAATAGTTGGCAGGTTCTCCAATTGGAGACAAAAAGTGTGCAAGCAGAAGTTAGAAAAAGACTTCCGTTGAAATTTAGACGCAATTAGTAATCTTAGTTTGCTAAACATTCGCTAAGTAAGAATTTGACATTATGTGAAGTGTGTTTCTATCAATGTTATTAGCGATGAGTTCTGTCTTTAGACATTAGGTTATTATGTCTGTCCCCAAGTATTCGATTATAATTATAGCGTTTTCAAAAATAAAAGAAACATTCAAGATTCATAAAAGTCAAAATTTGGATAATAGTTTAACGTGAAAACATAACTATAATTTTTTAGCAAAATTTCTAGAGACAAAAACAAAAGACGAACAAAATTTGTGGCTATAAAGATAAGCTCGTACCAACTTTTTCACCAGGATTTTTACCTGGTGGTTTTTGTTTAAAAAAACGGATTTTAGATATTATGTACTCTGAAAATTAGAATAAATAAACTGCTCCACAAAAATGAAGGAAGTCTCATTATTTTTACAACAAACAAATTTTATTCTTCTAAACATTGTGGAATCCAGCACAAATAAAAAAGTAAAAAGATATCTGCCTTTATCTCACTTTTAGTTAATTATTAATTAATTTTTCCTTAACTTTTATGGAGCAGTTTATATCGTGTCCATAAACAGACCCTCATTATTTGGGTCCTCCTACCTAATCGCAGTTATAAACCATCGGCGAGAAGAAAGTAATAAAAATGATTTTTCATTCAGCCAGAACATTTCTTTTAAGTAAATCTTATCATGGGATATTACTTCATTAATAATAATTATTATAATTAGGCGTGTGCAAAGTGTGTTATACGGTATGTCTCCGGATTGAGTTTACAAGAAGAAAAAGATTTTATCTTTGTTTTACGCCAAAACTTCAAAGAAATACATTTTTTACTTCGCCTGAAATGAGCAAATCTGTAATTAAAACATCATTACTATGTCTCAGGGGAAAGAAAAGTATATTTTCTCTTGATTTTGGGCTGCTGTTTAACTCCTCTCACAATTCACAACAAAGATTTACTTAAAAGAAATGTTGAGGCTAAATGCACAAGCATTTTTATTACTTTCCCCTCGCAGATAGTTTATAACTGCGGTTAGGTGGGAAGATCCAAATAATAAGGGTCGGTTTATGGACGACATTTTCTAATTTTCTGAGTGTACAACCAATAACATTGCAACAGTGATGGTACAAAAAATTAAACTGAAATGTGTAGAAATTTCTTCGAGAATTTCTTCTTATTCCCTCTTAAGAAGTAACGCCAAGTTACAAAATCTTAATAAAATAATATTTTTTAAATCTACTAAAAGTTCTTCCAGCCATACCATTTTTAATAAGTATTACAAAACTGAAGACTGCCTTCGTGTCTTTTATGTCCTATCAATCACTGGAAGGCCTAAACAAACTAGTCATTATTATTACATTTATTTTTGAACTTTTATTGCTAGCCTGTGGATTACGGTTAGACATCGGTAAATATGATGGAAATTGAAATAAATTCATTTAGGTATAATTTGTGAATTTATTCATTAATAAGAATAGATGCATTTAAAAAAAGTGTAATGATCGAACAAAGAAACATGTGAGTAAAAACTGAAAATTTTATATTTTAAGTATTAAAACTGGAAAAAATCTAGCAGAAAAGGCCTGGATGTAAGTACAAATGATATAACCGAATGAAAACTGATTCAATTCAATGCCCCTTGTTAATAACGAGTTTATTGTAAATTCAAACCACGAGGTTTTTCAGTTATTTTACCTAAACCTTACTTATTGTGTCCCCTGGATGCAATTGGATAGTAACTATAATATTAAATCTAACTACTGATTTATTGATGTTTCAAAAGTTCTTCGTTAATTCGTTATAAAGAAGAAATAGAATAAATAGACTAAAAGTTTTTTTAAATGAAGATAAACCGTTTTTTTAGAAACCGGTGTCAGAACCAGTGCCTACTTGTTGGAAATAAAACTAATAAAAGACGACATACCTGGTAATGAGCAGGATACAAACTTGGAAACAGTAATTTTATGTGGAGCAAAAATACAATACAATTAGGGCACTAGCACTGAATAAAACTAAAATACAAAATCACGTGTAATAAATTGGACTCGCATGCCGGATGATTCGCAGATGTCGCCCTTTTAATTTTGCTTCTTCGTCGATGATCGTACGACATCGTTTTGCAACGGTTGATTCGCTTCTCTCTAAAAGCATTGAGTTGTAAAATATAGAGCGCAAAATAAATCAATCTGATTAATTAAATAATTTAGTTTTTAGTTGTTAGTAGTTTAACATTATTTTAAATTAGTGAAGTTTTTGGTAGCACTTTGTAGAAAAAATATAGCCTTTAACTATAAGTTTAATTTTGTTGCGTAATGTTTTCACTCTACTTGTTTCTTACTTTTATAAAAAAAAATAGTGATTAGTGATTTTTGTTTCCAAATCTAGTATATGTTGATCATATTGTAAGTTGACATCTGAAGTGAAAAAGGCCGATAATTTTTTAAATTTTCTAGAAATTTATAGTTGTGTAACAAATAAAAAGTATTGTTTCAAGTTTTTAATCAAAAATGTCGTCTCCTGCTCCCAAGTCACCGGAACAAAGTGAGAAAAGCAAAAAATACGACCGGCAATTGAGGTTAGTCTATTATCGACGAGTTATTTTTCAAATAATACAATGAAATTATAGATTATGGGGAGACCACGGTCAGAAATTTCTCGAAAACTCAAAAATTTGTTTAATAAACGCTACTGCTTTGGGTACGGAAATTCTCAAAAGTTTAGTTTTACCAGGCATTGGTTCTTTCACTATTGTTGATGGCGAAAAAATTACGGATGATGATATTGGTTCAAAGTATATGGTTTTAGTATTTGAGAAACATTGTCTGAAAATTCTATTTTAGCTTTTTTGTTGAGAGTGATACAATAGGCATGTCTAGAGCACAAGTGGCAACTCAAAGTCTACTTGAATTGAACCCTGATGTTAGAGGGGATTACATTGATGAGTCTGTTGACCACATTATGGCCCACAGTCAAGATTTTTTTGATACGTTTTCGGTTGTAATTGCTACATGTTTACCAGAAAAGTAAAATTAATTGAAATGAAAAACAAGGAATTAACGATCAAATTTCAGAGTTTTAATACCACTCTCTAAACATTTATGGGAAAAAAATGTACCACTTATTGTATGCCGCAGTGTGGGATTTTTGGGGTACATAAGAATTCAAGTTAAAGAGCACACCATAATAGAGGCTCATCCTGATAATGAAAATCACGATTTACGCTTAGACAATCCATGGCCTGCATTAAAAGAACATTTGGATAAAGTTGATATAACGAAACTGGACAACAAGGAACGCAGTCATGTGCCTGCGGTAGTTATTCTATACTATTATTTGACTCAGTTTAAGAACAAATATGGTGGGTTTACATAATTTCTTTACATATCAGTTTACGTAGTCTTTGTTAGGCCACTTACCAACAACTCGAGCTGAAAAAGAAGAAGTGAAAAAAATGATAACTGAAAGTCCGCCACCTGATGAACATGGAATTAAGAATTTAGAAGAGAATTTTAAAGAAGCTATTCGCTACATAAATACTTGTTTTAACCCAGTAAAGATTCCACCAAATTTGCAGGCAATCCTAGAAGATGATAGTTGTAGAAATGTGAACCAGAGTAGTTCATCTTTTTGGATTTTATGTGCGGCCTTGAAAGAATTTGTAGAAAAAGAAAATGCGCCTCCGTTAAAGGGGAGTTTACCAGATATGGCAGCCGACACTAGTAGCTACATAACATTGCAACAACTATACCAAAAACAAGCCCAAACCCAGTGTGAAATTATTTATAGGAGGGCCTTAGAAATAGCACGAAATTTGGGCCTCTCTCAAGAAATCATTACGGAATCTGAAGTAATTTCTGTTTTATTTTTTTTATTGCATTGATTTTTGTTGGTTTTAGGCAAAGTTATTTTGTAAGCATGCAAGTGAATTACATGTAATTCGTGGTAGTTGCATTGCTGATGAATATCAAAAAACCAGGCTAGACCTAACGTCGTATCTTGAAGATCCTGACAGTCTGATGTTTCATTACATAACTTTAAGAGGCCTAGAACGCTTTATCAGTGAATTTAATAGTTATCCAGGCCAACTGGATGATCATGTGGAGCCAGATGTGCTTAAATTGAAGAGTATTATTGGAAAGTTGTTAGGAGAGTGGGGTTGTTCACAGATAATTAGAGATGAGAGGGTGCATGAAGTTTGTCGTTACGGAGGCGCTGAGCTGCATTCAATCTCTGCTATTTTGGGGGGATGCGCGGCTCATGAGGCTATCAAACTTATAACTTTGCAGTATAAACCGTTAAATAACACGTTTGTTTATGATGCAATTACCTCAACTTCTGCTTCTTTTACTCTTTAAATGATTGTTTTGTTGATTAGGTTACTAAGAATAAATTTTTTAAAACGCTTTTTTGTATTTGTCACGGAAATATTATTATTAGTCATAATAATAGCTCATTAAACGAAAATGGTGAATTAACCTCTAATTTTTAAACAAATGTTATAATATACTAATAACAAAATATTACACATACAAACACATAAAATTGGTTAGAATTTTTTGAGAATCACAGTCATCACAGTACTCTTTTTGTTATTTTATTTATAAAACACTAGTAATTTAATAAGTTTTTGAGGTTATGCGGATCCAACCTCAAAGTCTGAAGTTGTCAAACAAGTCACAAGTCATCAACCTCTTTTAATCTTTACATTTAAATTATCTTAATATATTCGCACTAAAATAGCATGTAAACAATGTGCGAAGTAGGGGAAAACAGTAGGATTTTATCTTCAACACCGTCGTCCACGACTTCGGGTTGTTTATCAAATGACGAAGGTTCAGATGATCGCCTCCTTCCATCCAGTCTAGCAGCAGAAGAGTTGCAATTGGCTTTAAACAAGGTTACAAATGTTATCAATTTATCGTTGAGTAATTTTCCTAACACTTGGGACTTTAGGAAGCAACAGAGGAAGAGTTGATAAAGGCTATCACTCGATGCAAGGATTTGGTTTTGGAAAGCAATCAGTGTTCAGTGGAACGCAAGTGGCTTGTGAGACATCTTATAGAACTGCGTTTGAGATTACAAGAATGTAGGGAGGCAATGGAGGATCCACAGTACATATTAAATAGTTTTTTTTGTGTTGTGTTTAACCACATTTATTGCAGGCATCCAAGAAATAAAAGCAGCGGTGTATCAAGAAGAACAGTGAGAGGACATCATTTGAACTTGCAGCCACTTCTGACTACTTCCACAAAATATTGCGATCATTGCACTGGCACAATTTGGTAAAATATTGATAATTAAATTGATAGACGCTTAATTATTTTTTTAGGGGTTTGGTACAAGCTTGGTATGAATGTGAGGATTGTGGTTATGCATGTCATTATAAATGCATATCACAATTAATAAGAGAATGTGCTCATGTTGTTGCCAGCGAAAGGGGTGGATATGAGTTGGAAATTTGTCCAGAAGAAGGTTTATCAGCTCAAAAGTATTCGTGTGCCGAATGTCAGTCACTTCTTCCTATAAGTAAGTAGCCATCCAGAACTTTTCTAACGTAAGATATAAACAATTAAAAAAAAATTTATACTGATTAAGCTAAAGCGTGGTATCTAAAATATAAGTGGTCCTCGAATTTTTATTTTTAAGAAATTAGTTAAAATTATAAGAATACACCAAAACGTGCCTCCATTTGAAAAACACCACCTAGAATTTTTTTACAGTTGCAGTATAAGAAGAGGGGTATGAATTTATTATTTTTGTAAACACAATTAGGTTAAAATACACAAGTTTTAAAACAATGTATAATTGATTTCTAATTTTTTTTTTAATTAAATAAAAAATATCGTATATAACGTATATAATGTAATGTAATGTAATGTATATGTATATAATTGATGTATAAAAGATACTGCAACATATTTATTGCATAATTATTTTCTTTAACATAGAAGAATTTTTTTAATTTGTGTTTATTTAGGCCGGTTAGCGAGAATAGAATTTTTACTTGAGGTCTGTATTTGCGTAAATTAGAAAGTTGACATACTAAAAGTTTGCGGTAAATGGGACGCAGGGGGGCACTAAAACCCAAAAACGGTGCATGTTACGAAAAAAATGGTTATGTACAAAATTAAAGCTTATATTCAATTTTCTATAAGATGTTTTTTAGGGTTTTTTGTATCTCAAATAGGTACCGAGATATTCGCTAGCAAATATCGCACTCTGTAAAAATTCTTTAATGAATTAACATAGGGCTTGTTGTAAAAGTAGTAAGCATTGTGATTGGACCGGTTAAGGTCGGCCATTTTTGGGTTCATTCAAAAATTTAGCAATGGTGTGATTGGTTCGTTTGAGGTCGGCCATAATGTGAGTAACCATGGAGAAACCAATCACTTTAGACTTCAGTTTCATTCAAAAATGGGGAAATTAGTTAATTCGGATTTACATTAATTCCTTCATTAATGAAATGGTTCTATTTTTTTAAGAAAATCTTACGTTTCGTAGTAAGGAATATTAGTGTTTTGCTCATCTTGTGTGCTTAGGAATTGACGACGAAGATACACAAGTGAACGTTTTTTCATGATTCATGCATGAAGTGAAACATAGACCTCATTTTGTTGGAACCAGAGACCACGTGTGAGGGAGGTAAGATTAAAAAAAACGAAAGACAGTCTTGTAGGAAATTTTGTAAGTTTTAATTTTGTACATAACCATTTTGTAACACATTTTGTTTTTGAAATATAAGCTAGAAACTACATGATGTCCTTCTGCGCCCCACTCATCACGGAGGACCGGAGACTTTAAGTATACATCTGAACTAGTCCAAAGCCCTCACTGAAGTCAAAAATTTTGTCTTCACGTATTCTACAATCCCTTTTTTGAATGTTCATTGACTGGACTGTAATGTGAAGATTGAGTTTTTAATAAGTAGTAAAAATAATTTTAATTTTGTGCCATGTTTGAACACTATACAATAGGTATTCTAAGAAAAGAATTAAATACATAAATCTGAATCTGTTTACCTTATAAATATTTTTTTTCTTTTTTTTTAGTATTATTTTGTGAGTTCATAGTTACAGTAAACCAAGTTCATAGTTCATCGTGCGTTGTTTTTGTATTTTTTTGCATGTGAGGCGATAATAAGTGCTGTATATTATTTGTAAATCTTCGGTAAGACAATTTAAATTAAACACTATTGAGCCAATAGACGTTTTGATTTAATTATAATAACCATTAAAAACATTCTTGGTGTTATAATACTTATAATAGAGATATTTTTTATATTATATCTTCAGAGTTTTAGATTTTGACGACTTTCTGTGGCAATTTATTAAATGCCTAATAAGGCGCAATATTGTTTGCACATTGGGTTATTTGCTAAATGTAGATATGTTTTTTATTGGTATAGATAGAATTAGAGTATTACTTCTAATTAATAGATGATTTTTACTGTACTAGCTGCTCCAAAAGGAATAAGCTGTCTTGGTAGATTACTTTTTCCAGGTAAAATATAGCTTTTTGCGGCACTAGTACCATTTTACACGCTGGGGATAATATTTACCTGCCATATAAAACTATACCCATGTGAAGCGTAGATAAATCTATAAGTAGGTAGGTATAAATATGTCAATATATCACAACTGCATTTTTTGAAGTCAAGTCTCAAGAGTTTCAACAGTGACTTTAAAATATATAAAGTTTTTTGTATGAATAATCTTTTTTACAAATTCTGAATGACTAATTAGAGGAATTACATAAAATTAAGAAAACTGAAAATTTCATAATGACTCATGAAATGTACTTCTTGGTCTCGTACACAGCGTGTGAAACGGTTCTAATAGATTTTTGCTACGCTCACTTTCTACGCTAACCATCAAATAAATTATTTAATCAAGGACTAGCAGTTTACTTTTTTTTACCAGACAAAGACTGGACCGAAGCTCGGAAATGCGACTACTCTGGTCTATATTACTGCACTGCATGCCACTGGGGAAGTTCTGCTGTGGTTCCAGCCCGCGTGGTGCACAACTGGGACTTCACTCCCCAGTCAGTCTGTCAGGCAAGTTTGCAGCAACTCCGGGTAACAGCAAATCGGCCGCTTATAAATTTAGAAAAATTAAATGTACGATTATTTTCTCTCGTTCATGAACTCAGTTTAGTCCGACGTTTGCGACAAGAATTACACGGAATGAGGAAATATCTCTCAGTTTGTCGAAACGCTAATGAAGACCATTTGTTATGGAAACACGTGGATGTGCCACATTTAATTGAAACACCAGAACTGTACAGTTTGCAGGACTTGGTTGATACACATTCAGGGGAGTTACCCTCGAAACTTCACACAATCATCGATGTGTTTAGTAAACATATCAAGGTGAATTGTGAGGTTTGTCGAGGGAGAGGACATTTGTGTGAGATTTGCTCAAATGATGAAGTTTTGTTTCCTTTTGATGGCGCTGCTGTGATTTGCTCTGAATGTAATGCCGTCTTGCATAAGAGCTGTTTTGGCAGGAAGAATATATGTCCAAAGTGTGTTCGGTTGCAACAACGGAAGGAGCAGCAATTAAATGATCAGAGTGAAGAATGACTGTGATATGCGTTTTTTTTTTCTCTTATGCTAAATTTAACTTGTGTATTGAACCGGAAAACATACAAGAGATAACACTATCAGTATAAAAATTGTACTTACGTTTATTTGAAGCTTTTGTATGTATGTATTTTAATAATAAATTATTGTTAATTATTAGCTCTTGTAATCTGTGCATTATTAAGTAGTTATTTGATTAAAAATAATGAGGTAAGTATTTTTGATTTTGGTTATTTTAACATTATTTCTATTCACAAATGACTATAATGATCTATTCTATTTTTTCTGTAATTTAATAAATCAATTGAATTCACTGAACTTCTCATTAATACAGCATCAATACCACTCTTAATGAATATTAAATGGTATGCAGCGATACTTTTTTTATAATTGTATACAAGCTATAGATAAATCTATAGTATGTAATGGCAGAAGACAACACATCAAATGAGGTTAAACTCATATGGAAAAGGTTTTAAAATATTTGGAAGGAAAACAATAATGCATTTTATGCTTTGTTACATTTTTTTTAACTGTCTACTTCATTATTTTAAGAGAGGTGCAATTTTTATTGTTGGTTTTTGGATAATTACTTCCTTTAATTTCACAACTTTTTTGTTGTTTCCGCATTGACATATTTTTGCTATTGAAATGTTGAGCAACTATTTTTTTGAGCATAAACAGAGTTAAACATTACACATTTTGCAAAATTTTATGAATTTGTGCTCAACTTTATACACGATGCCCTACCGAAAGTTCTCTCTTATATTGCCATTATTTTTTTTTTTGTAGAGGCAACTTTTTGCAGATGGGTTTTTACAATCAAACTTGCGAAACATAATCGTTAATTTAAATTTTATTATTTTCTAAAAATCTATGTTTGGGCTATTTTAGAAGTTGGAATACATAATATATAAGTAATTGTAATTTCTTATTCTGCATTGTCACACATACACCCACAAGCGATCCGAAAACTTAAATATTTTATAAGAAATTACTCCAAAGTCGGAACTACCCAACTTTAAGTTATCCATAATTAAAAATAAAGTGCATATACGAAAAACATCTTCCTTTTCGAAAATATGTTATATTGTAAAATTAAATCCAAACTGATGCGTTTAATTGTTGAAATTGTGTGACCCAGTTTACATTTAAATATAACAATTGGTTTGAGCAAAAAAGAATGGTGTCATGTTCGAAAATCAACAAGTATCTCCATCTCAAATTTAAGCGTTGGAGGTGGAAAATGAAGGGTGAAATTAAACCACGTGTTTCTGACTTCAAACACCGTAGTCGTTTGTCGGCGCGCGTGATATTCAGTTTAAATGTTCATTCCTGCTAAAAATATTTCACACACAAAATTTTTCTCACAATACCGAAACTCACTTTGTTTTATTTGTTATTACCAATAATTCAGTTGTGTTTCTACTATTTCAATTAAGCCTTTAACCGCTTAAAACATTTTATTTCGACCATATAGAAGACAGTAAACAGTATAATTTTAATTAAAACCATTGTGCTAGCTTCGTATGATTAAAGTGATCTTGAACGCGCTAAAGAAACTATTTTACATTCCGTTGTAGACTTGTTTATTAGGATATGGCGAGTGATAAGTGATTACAAGACAAATTGGTCATTTGTGGGCGTACTAATATTCGCAAGTTATTATGGCCAAGTGTAAAGTATTGTGGCTTTGTTTTTTCGGTAAGCAAACCATAAAGAGTTCTTTAGTCTCAATTTAAATAGAATTAATTAAAATTCATGCTTAGGTTGTTATACTATCAACTACATACCACTTTATTTGTCTTTTTGTTTAAATAAACTTAATATTGATTGTACAAATAATATGGGCTGTAATTTGTGGAGAATGACCAATGTGTTTTAATTACCAACATGTTTTAAGTCCCAATTTAAGAAATTATAAGTAATTAAAATCGAATCGTGCTGAATTTATCCGGAAATTGTCAGCATATTTTTAAAAAAATTCAAGGATATATCAACTATTTTATTAATTAAATAATAATCATTGTTATTCTCTTTTTTATTGTCTGTCCGAATGAAAAA